AACCTACAAAGATTCCAACCAGAATATCCTGCAAAGAAGGTGGTGGTGGTGGTGGGGGGGGGGGCTGTGGAGTCTCCATCTTCACTACAGATGACTCCATCCCCTCCCTGGGTCTACACTCCTTCCTTTTTTAATCCACAAGCATTACTGAGCACCGCTGTTGGCCAGAGGGTGCAACAGGGCACTAAGCAAGAACTTCAGATGAGAGGGTTTGGCGTTTTCATGAGTCAAAAAGTAGGGTCAAAAATTGCTGGGTGTGGTGGCACACACCTGTAATCCCAATGGCTAGGGAGGCTGAGGCAGCAGGATATTGAGTTCAAAGCCAGCCTCAGCAACTTTGCAAGTCCCTAAACAACTTATTAAGACCCTGTCTGAAAATATAACATAAAAAGGGGCGGGATGTGGCTTAGTGGTTAAGCACCTCTGGGTTCAATCCCCGTACCAAAAAATATCTAGTACAAAATATGCTATGCAAAAGTCCCCCCAACCCTCATTCCATCCTACCCTCAGCTGGAATCCTCACCTAGTTCCTAAACCTGTCCCAGAGCCAGCCCCAGCCCTGGGATGGGCTGTGATGTGTGTTGTACATGTTGTATTAAACACCACTGTTACTTTGTTGTAGTTATTTCATTTAATCCAGATCAGTATTCTTGCTCTGGGTGACTCCAAGCCCTAATCCCTCAGCCCCAGTTATAAAGATAAGAGGCAGGCAAGTCCACTGTGGGCCAGAGGGCATGAGTGAGTCCCCTGAACAGCTGCAGTGTTTGTTTTCATGGTCTTGGGGAAGGTTGACTTGTCAGAAAGAAAGTGTGAGCTTTGGGTAGGAAGAGGTGGGGAAAGCGTTTCTTGTGGAAGGATAGTTTTGAACCAAGTTTTGGAGGCAGACAGAACCTGGGTGTTTGGGACAGTGAAGAGGCAGGTGGGGTTTATTTTGGTATAAAAGGATCAGGGTATTGAATTGGGGTCAGTCCTGGAAGGCCTCGAGGCCAGGTCAGGGTGGCTGGACTCTCCTCAAGATTTTGTCTGTAATGAAAACTTCTGATTTTCTGATGTGATCCGCTTTATGAAGAACAAGGAACCCCAGAGGCTGAGAAGAGGAGGAGGATGGGAGACAGTGGCCATCAGCAGCCACCCAGAGCTAGCTTGCTTGCTTTCTGCTTGTTTTTTCTTTTGGAGACAGATTGGTCCTGGGATCAATCACTGGGTCCAGTAATTTTCCTGCTTCAGGGCTGGGGATGTGGCTCAAGCGGTAGCGTGCTTGCCTGGCATGCGTGCGGCCCGGGTTCGATCCTCAGCACCACATACAAACAAAGATGTTGTGTCCTCTGAAAACTAAAAAATAAATATTAAAAAAAAATAATAATAATCTAAAATATATGTAAGATGTGCATATATCAGAATATGTATAGTTTCCTACTTAGTTTTCTCCTACCTCTTTAAAAAAATTTTTTTTTCCTGCTTCAGCCTCCCAAATAGCTCCCAATAGGACATTAGGGGCACCACCATGCCCAGCTTCAGAGAGCTTTCTGATGAGACATCCCGTCCTCCTTCTAAACCCTAGTCAGATGTCCCAGCCCCAGGAAGCCCCCTCTGACTTCCTGCCCACTCTTGGCTTCCCTCTCAGCAAGAAAGCAGTGGAATGTGGTGACCACAGGTGGGGGACCAGACAGGCTGGCTTCAATTCCCGTCTCTGCCAGTCACCACCTGTGTGATCTCGTGCCAGTCACTTAACCTCTCCAAGTCCATTTCATCAACTGTTGAATGGGGCCTGCAAAGCCCTTACTGTATTGCCTTCCACTTGAGAATAGGAAGTGGACACTTAATTAGGCTGTTTATGCTTTTCTACTCTCTAGTTCCTTTATTCTTAGGCACACTTTTTCTTAGGTTTATGAAATCAGGATTAAGTGTACAACGGTGGGCAAGAACCTGTAATCAAGTTTCTGGACTGGGTTACTGTCCATGGCATTCTGGGCTGGAGGAACATGGTTTCTGGTTTGCACCAGCTGGGCCCACTGGTTTCTCCCATTGGATGGGAAGCATCCAGAGGCAGAGATGGCATCTTGTCTATGCCACCCCAGCACCCAGCACAGAGCTGGCCCAGGCAAAGGCCATAGGCATTTGCTGGGCCACATTTTGGGATGGACTTGCTCACCAGGAGTGGGGCCAGGAATAAAACCCAGTCACTTGATTCCCTTTTATATGTTTCAGCATGTTCCCTAGAGCTGACTAGTGTCCCTTGTCACCCAGGCCAAGACTCTAGTGTCTCTGCTGTGAGCCTTGGGTAAATCCATCTTTTCTCTGACATTTGGAGGGGATTCTGGTGCTGGGTGGCCCAGGAACCCCAGAGGGCTCTGTGAATGGATTCCTAAGGTTCAAGTCAGCATGTACTATCCTCTGAGCTTGTAGGAAAGGACTTCTGGATGAGTGGCAGGAGGCTGGGTACATCTTCAGCAGGCCCCTGAGGAAGAAGAGGCTCTGTGATGTCTTTACAATTTCCTGTCTGTTCCTCCCCAGGCTCCAGTCTCCTGCTCTGTTGTCAGCAGAGCCTATACTTTAGCATAGAAAGATGGCACCATGGTCCCTCATCTCAGCGTAAGGGCAATGACTGTCACCTCCACCCCTGAAAGAAATTAAAATCTGCCACAGCCCGTCTGGCTGGGCAAAATAGCCGGGGGCGGGGGGGGGGTGACGAAGAACTTGTGTAGATTGATACAGCAGGAGTAGGAGCCGTTTATTGTAGGACAACAGAGGTATTTATACATTCCACACAGCTTATCTTAATTAACATAAAATAGATACAGCAGTCAACCAATAAGGAATCTCCACACTTAACGCTTGCTGGCGTTACTTCACAAACCACTCCCTCTGGCAAAATGCCAGGCGCCATCCAGACTTGTTTACAGACTCTAACAAAAATCAGCCTCAGTTCTAAAAGGCAGGTTCTGCAGATCAAACCACACGCAACCCATCTTCTTATTTATTACCCAAAGATAAGCAGAAAGATCATGATTTTGGGAAATAATTTCTTCTATAAAAGTTGAGCACAAACCATATATGGACTGTGGGTTCGGCCCAAGACCGACTACCTGTTTGATCTGGGCCTCTTTTTTTCTATCTGGGAAACAGGCAGCATTGGTTTGGCTCACTCACTAGGGTGCTTGTGAGGCCCAGAGAAAAAACTAGTCCCGATGATAATGTGTTCTGAGTAGTATAACACACGGTCCAAAAACGAGGGGCTAAAAAATTCTCCTTGAGCCCCTGGTCTTGCATGCAATAGGTACTCAGTAAATGTCAATGGGTAAAGGAGGAGAGGGTATGAACCAGGGATTCCTAACCTTGTGGGCACTGGCTTTCCTGAGAATCAGATGAAAAGAATGAAACTTCCCATGGAAAATAAGCACTCAAATGCACACAGAATTTTGTGCTTGATTTTAGAGGGTGTGTGGATTCCTGAAGTCCCTGAGCCTAGGACCAGAATGGAGTTCCTAAGCTTGGTGGCTATTTGCCCCAGTCTGGACTGCTGGGTTTCTGTTCTCACAACTAAAAGGCTCAAGGGTCACTCCAGGTAAACTGGGCTGACTGGGCTGCACAAAATAACCACGCAAGAGACACAAATACCTTTTTCTTTGGGGTCTCTGTGCGGCTCCTCTGACCTTAAGGGTCCGCAGAAAGAGAGAGAGAGAGAGAGCATGCACTGACCCCTTTTATTGAGGAGAAGCTATTCAAATGAGGCAAGGGATCAGGTTTCAGGGGGCTGAGTCTATCTTCATGATCTCCACTGTCAGCAGGTTGACTGACACCTGGGTAGGCCACACCCAAGGGCACAGTAAGAGAAGGGGACACACACAAGGCACTTCCATGGAAGATTCTATCCTAAACAGGGCAAGGAATTATATTACAAAGGAACAGGTGAGCATAGCTTCACCCATGGGGCTGTAGCAAGACACACCCATGCATGGGACACCGACCCTCAAACCCAAGAAGGGTGGGGAAAGCTCTGCCACATTTCTGAGACCGAGCGCCTCAGCACCCAGTGGGGAGTGTAACCCAGTCACGTGTAAGGTTGGTCTCCCACACTGGGCCTGATATTGCTGTCTGCCCACAGGTAGGGTGGGGTGGGGTTGGTGACGTGTCTGAAAGGTCCAGGCACTAGGCACAGTTGTGAGCTGCCCTGATTCCTGAGCCAGGCTGAGGAGCTGCTTCCCTAGCCCCTTGGAGCAGGGTGACCTTGTACTTGGGCTGCAACATCATGCCTTCCTTTTACAGGAGGGGCTTAGGGTTTGGAGGTTGCTGGGCAGGGAGGGCTAGTCCTACCTCCTTGAAGGTAGAATAAACAACTTTTTGCTTAGATGATGTTTATTGGTGGAGCCTTGGGGAGCAGGGACTGTTCTCATCTCAGGCACCTCATCCAGGTTTATATTCCATGTTCTGTTGCTTCACAGGCAATGGATGCCATAGGCCTCGCCAGCCTCCCAGAGCCTGCCTCTATTTCAGGGAAGCCCTGGGTGCCAGAAAGCCCCCCATACACTGGTATGGTGAGTGCTTCAGAAAGAGGCACCAACAAATCTCTAACACCCTCCCTTTCTCCTTATGACTCAAATTCAGGATCTGAGGTGAAGGGACTTGGGTGTAGGCTATGAGCAAGGAACAGGTGCATGAGGAAATTCCCAGGCCTGCCTGACTGGGCTGGAGACTTAGACCTTGACATTCTTACCCAAGGTCACCCAACATCCCACTCCAGTTTCCCAGTGGTCCTACAGGAGTTGGCAGGGGACAGGAAGGTAAAGGTAAGATGTGGTCATCCTGTGGTCCTGACCCTTTCCCAGCCTTTGTAACAACCCCCTCCCAGACACACACACACATTTAGGGAGCATTAAATTTATTTCTAGCCAGGCTGAACTTCTTGGGAGATGAGTGGTGCCACCATATGCCCTCTGTCCCACTGGGGGACCTGAGGTGGCATATTTCATCAGTCTGGGGGTTGGCCTCCTTTTCATAGATTAATGCCAGGGAGTCAGGTAGTTGATGCGGCTATGGAGAGAAACAGGGATGAAGTGGAGGTCTCCAGGGTGTTCTCAAGAAAAATCAGTCGGTTTTCCTCCAGGTCTTTCCCCAAAACCCACCTCCTTACCCTCAAGTCTCTGAAGACAGTTTTCCCCCAGCCTCGGGGGGAAAAACCAAGAACTTTTAATAGCTCCCTATTTCCTTTAATTTTGGTTGTTCTTGGTTTTCAAATTTGCCTCCCTCACCTCATTTGTATCTCCCAAGACCCTCAAATATGTACTGCTTCCCTAATTTTTCAGTCATTTAACAAACCTACACCGTTAGGCATCATACAGGAGTGAGAGCAGAACGTTTCCCCCTGTGTGTGCAGGGGAGAATGCAGCCGTCTGGGTGCTATAAGGTAGGGATGCCCAGGCCACGACCAAATGGAGGGAATGTGAGCTGCGGGGAGAGGCAGAGGCTCAGGAAAGACTTCCAGGGGGGTGGAACAACCAGACTGGCCTTCAAAGAGTGAGGAAGGCTTTTCCAGACAGAGGAGGAAGGACCATCTAGGCTCATCTGATTCAGCACAAGAAAAGCTTTGAAGAGGTTTTGGTCGCGCCGGTGGGTTTGGGCACACCAAAGAGCCTGATATTGCTGAAGTGCACAAAGCAAGGCTGGAGATGGCCATATCCTGGAGAAGGTAGAACAGCTCGCAGCAGCACTCCCGTTCTCATTCCCATCGCTGAGTCTCGGGGGGGGGGGGGGGGGGGGACCCTGTTGGAGCACCCGCATCCTCCCTTCCGACTTGCCCGCATCCTAGAAGGTAGATTCTTGGCCCTTTCTTTCTGTTCAGTCCTCCCAGGTAACGCCCTCCTCTTTCCAACCTCTTCTGAGCCAATCCTGACAGCGTATGAGCTCCTTTCCACGCCCACCCCAGTCCCCAGGGAGCTGAGTTTTGGCCAGGTGCGGATCTCTAGGGAGCCAAGCAGCTAGCGATCCCTCCTTCGCTGGGCCCAGAAGGTGGAGGGCTAGGAGATCTGGACGTGGGCGGAACCCCCCCCACCCTCGCCCCCGCGGCCCTAGCTGCCGACCTGGGCGTGGCCATCCCCCTACCTGTATTTGGAGCCAAAGCGCCGGAAAGTGTTCCTGCGAAAGGACGCGGAGGGTGAGCCCCGGGTGCAGGGGGGCCCGCTCCCCGCCAGCAAACCGAAACAATCACGTTGCCCTTCGTCCCACTTAACGCCTCCACTCCAAAAGAGTGAAGCTGCCGGGGATGACAAGGTGCTCCGTTTGGTAGGAATTCGATATTTATTCATTTTGAAATTATGATTTTCATGTGCTGTATTCGAACCACTTAATACTTCCCAGGTCTCACATTTTCAAGCGCCATTGGGCCCTTGTGTGTACTAGGAAAGGGGCTAAGATCCCACCCTCCCTCCTCCGGGTGGAGGTCCCGGGGTTCGTAGCATCACTTACAGGGAGTCGAAAGGCAGGGGCTTCTGTCCGTAGCGGTCTAGACTGGGGTTCTGGTTGAGGCAGTACTGGGGCGGGCCACAGGGATGGGGCGCTGGTAAACCCGGGAGGGACCTCGGGCACCCACCCAGCTCCCACAGCGTTCCCTACTGGAGATCTGAGCCCTGGGACTGTGAGAACTTGCGCTCCGTCCCCCCACCCCGTCCCCACTTTCCCTATCCCTCATATCTCCTCGGCTTTAGCTGCACCCATCAGGATCCCCGGGGACCGGTCAGCGAGCATCTCCCTTACCCTCCAGTTCTGGGTCACATCCGGCTTCAAATACCGCACCGCGTAGCCGCTGAACCTCTCCACTGAGGAAAGAGCCCACTTTGGACACCCAGCCAGCTCCGACACGCCCCACCCTTCCTAAGCCCCGCCCATAGAGCAAGCCTCACCTCCACTGCCCAGCGCTGGACAGAAGTGGGTCTCCGGACCCGGCACCCCCAGTTCCAGAACCAGCTCATCATTCAGGCCCAGCCCGGTTTCTCCCCCTGGCCTGGCCCTGGCCCCCTGCTCCTTCCCCACGATGAGCGCGGCCTCTAAGTCCCTCAGCCGCTCTCTGATGTGCTCTCTGTCGGCGCGCGTCCCAGCTGCTCCCCAGCTCCCTTATCCTGTCCCTGCGGCTGGCCACTTGAAGCCGGTGGTCCTCTCTCCCTGCCACAGCAATGACCCAAGTGCCCTACAATCTCCCCCAGCGTTAGGCGTCACCTGCAGCTGGGAGACTGACCCTTGTTGTTCAGGCAGGGCAGCTTGAATTCCCCAGCCGTGGACACAAAGTGGGACCAGTCCTCGATGGCACTGGTGAAGGAGGGCCAGTCGATCCGGTTGATGCCTGGTACGATGGGCAGCAACTTTCCCTCACGGTACTTGCAGCAGGGCTTCTGGCCAGTGGGCGTGATGTCCTGCTAGGGTTTTTTTTTTTTTTTGGGGGGGGGTCAGGAGCACCGCAGTAGATGCAGGAACTTGGCGGGGGGGAGTCTTCTTGGATCATCTCATAGCCCAGAGCTGACACTTGACCCATCTGACCCGGGGTGTGCTTGAGGTTGGAGACCCAGATTGGATGGTGGTGGAGGGGGTCCCAAACAGATAGCTGAGGATATGCTTAGGGAAGAGCCTAGAGGTGCTTGGGACTGGGTGCAGGCTTGTGCCTTTTGCAAACCCAGGGTTAGGGACAACACTCACCAGGCAATGCAGGGGTTGATTGGGGATCCCCAGGAGTGTGAAGTGGGCATTGTCAAACTCATCTGTTGAAAGAAGATAAAGGGAGAAGAGACTTCTCCTTCACTAGCAGTCCCAGGTTCATGCAAGAGAGGTTTGGCCCACACTGTGCTTTAATTAAAAAAAAAAATACTGGATGGATTTAAACATCTAAGATAAAATATTACTTCTATCTTCATCTCTTACAATATAATAAGCTCCCATATAGATAAAAGATTTCAGTGCAAAAAAAAAAAAAATGAAACCATAGAAATACTAGAAGAAAATGTGGGCAAGTTCCTCTGAATTTGGGGCAGGAAAGGCCTCATTCTAACTAGAAAGCCAGAACTTAAAGAAAAGATCAGCAACTTTGGATCAACAACTTGACTACATAAAAATAAACTTCTGCGTAGCAAAATAGAAAAGAAGCCGAAAGGCAAATGGAAATTTATTTTTTTACTAATTTTACAGACGAAAGGCAAAGAGTAGAAATCAAGCCAAAAAAAAGAAAAGAAAAAAAGGGTAAAAAAGCATTCACATCCCATACACAAATATAAGAATTACAGATGAGCCCTAAACATGAAAAGATGCTGAGCCTCATCTATAATAAGATGAATGCATATCCAAATTACATGAAGATACCAACTTTTCCTTCTCAGACTGGGAATAATCCAAAATGTTAGTGCAGTAGGGCCTTTGGCATATATTGCCAGAGGGAGTATACATTTATCGGAGCCTACAGAGAACAATTGTCATTTTCCATCAGAATCATAAAGACACACGTGCCTTTTGACTCCTAGTCCTACTTCTGAGAATTTATCCCCAGAAAGGCACAAGTGCAGACGTGAGAAGAGGGTAACCCATTTCAGTATTGTTTGTAATAGCAAATGATTGGAGATGATTCAAGGACTGTCAATAAACTACACTACACCCACACTGTGCAGCTACTAAAAGAAATCTGAGGGGCTGGGGCTGTGACTCAGAGGTAGCGCACTTGCCTGGCATCTGTGAGGCACTGGGTTTGATTCTTTAATTAAAGGTCTATTAGCAACTAAGAAAATATTAAAAAAAAAAAGAAGAAGAAAAAAAATCTGAGGACATCCTCTAGACAAAACCTCCAAGGTACAAAAGAATAGTTACTGTATACAAATACCTGTTTAGAGCCTAAAGTTTAAGATTCTTGGAGGCAGAGAAGAAAATACATTCTGGTTATCATCTTAAACAAATTATCAAACTCAGCAGCATGAAAGCAGGATAACTGTATGCCTCCTGCAGCAACTCTAGGGGAAACATAGTGCCCATGATCTGTGGAAGATTCTGGCCAGCACTGTCTCATGTGGTTGATCAGGCCTGTAGGTCTAGCTACTGATCCACAGAAAATAGATAAGCCGGGTAAAGACCACCATGAGGGAACAGCTGCTCAAATACCATCAGGCACTGTGTCCCACAACTGCTGGGGACTCTTTAAAAGTCAATATCACAGGGGGGGGAATGAAAAACAGATAGATATCAGGCTGGGGTTGTGGCTCAGTGGTAGAGCGCTGGCCTCGTATGTGTGAGATCCTGGGTTCAATCCTCAGCACCACGTAAAAATAAATAAACAAAATAAAGATATTATGCCCATGTATAACTAAAAAAAATTAAAAAAAAGAAAACAGATAGATAGTCTTATGCTAAGACTAAAAACATAAAAACCAACTGCAATGCACATTCCAGGTGGAAGCCCCTGTCTGTTTTTTTTTAAGTTATAAAGACACCTTTGGGGGGTAATTAGGGAAGTTTTAATGTGGACTGGTTATTAGATGTTATAGAATTATTATTAACTTTCCTGGGTATGATAACGATATTGTGTCATGTAGAAGGCTGTATCATTGGGAGTTGCTTGGTAGACTGTGTGTGTGTGTGTGTGTGTGTGTAGAGACTGGGGAAATTCAAATATGGTAAAACATTGACTGATGCAGATAGAAGGTAATGAGTGCTCATAGTACTATTCTTTAAACTTTGAAAATGTTCATAACAAAAATTGGGGGAACAAAATAATGTACGTTTGTGCTAAGTGCATAGGAGCATGCCTGTACCAGCTACCTGGGAGACTGAGGCAGGAGGATGGTGGGAGCCCTGGAATTCAGAGCCAGCCTGGACAACAGAGTAAGATCCTGTCTCTTCAAAAAACAAACAAACAAACAAAGACAATAGAATGCATGTTTGTGTTTGCATTAGTAACAGAAAGATACATTAGAACCCAAGAGTGGCCACCTGTAAGGGGGTCCCTCACTGTTGTAGCATTTTAAGTTTTAGGGCTGGGGAGTAGCTCAGTGGTAGAACCCTGTCCACCTTGCCCAAGGCCCTGGGTTCCATCCCCAGCACTGCATAGGCTTATAATACACAACTAAATCAGGGCTTTCCCGAAAGATCTAAATTCCTGGCTTCCCTTGGAAGCAGGAAATGAGGAGAACCCGTGATCTCTCTGACTCTCTGCACACAGCACAGTCAGTGGGAGTCTGGGAGCCAGAGACCTTTGGATGGGACCCATGTGGGTGCTCTTCCTCACCAGAGGGGCTTCCCCCCGCTGCTCCATTCAGGGGTGTTTTTCATCTTGGTTGCAGGGGTCAGGGTGGGTCTCCAGAGATTTTGGTGTAAGCTTGGACATCCTCACCCACCTGTCCCCCGAGCAGAGACCTCCGTATCACCCTGGACCTCCCCCTTCCTCTGGCACCCATCCTGGCACCCAGTCCTGCTGACCTATCTCCTGAATGCCCTCTCAGTCCCTGCAGGCTAGTTCTGTGGCCCTTTCCCCTGCAGGCCCGCCTGACCTTGCGTTCATGGGAGGTGTGAAGGCTCCCTCTCTCCCTTTCCCCGACACAGGGGTGGGCAGGCAGAAGTCATCCTTGTCTTGAGCGTTATCCTTCCAATCTCTGCCCAGTTCTGTCTTCATTAATAAGAGCCATGCGGGCACAGAGACTCTGTCCCTCACCATGCCCTGCCCCACCTCCACACTCTGCCAACAACAAGGCCATCACCAGATGCAGCCCCTCACCTAGCCCCTCCAGAACTGGGCGCTAAAATAAACGTTGTTCCCTTAAAACTTAGAGGACGTTCACAACGGACCTAGCAATCACGTTTGTTGAGCACATATTATGTGCCAGCTGTGGCTCTCCCTGCTTTTCCCGCCTCATCTCTTCCCAGCGTCAACAGCTCTGTGAGGCAGGCGGCCCTGGTCATCGTTTCCCCTTCACAAATAAGGAAACCGAGGTCAGAGCTTAATGGAGGTTTCTGGACAGGGAGCAGCCGAGACTGGCCCTTTTAACCCTTTCATTTGCCACTCGTGACTTTCCCTCCAAGATTTCTTTCCTTGTCCACCTGTCCCTTCTGCAAAGTCCCCAGGGGGGCCCAGTGCTGGTGGGAGGTGAGGCGGCCTGACCTTTGCGGCAGTAGGTGGTGGACTGGCAGTGCTCATCCGGGAGGCAGGCCTTGACGGAGTCCATGTCCATGCGGTGCAGGGTGGGCAGCGCCGGGTGGTAGAGCTGCTGCTTCATGCTGGCCAGCAGTTGGCGCTGCCGCGGTATCTGGAGCAAGATGGCCGGGGATGCATACACGTGGGCAGTACCATCGTCCCAGGGCACCACGTCGATGATGCGGGCCATAGCTGCGGAGCAAAGCGTACACATGAAGGGCTCCCCGGGCTCATCCCAGGTAATGACCTTCCGTGGGGAGACGTCCTTAGCCTGGGCTGATTGTCTACTAGTCAAGGGTTTATTGAGCACTTACTCTGTGCCAGGTGATTTTTTAGGAGTTCCACGTGTGGTGGCAGGGACACTCAACACACATACTCACACTCATGCACACATATGCACACATGTGTGCAGATACACACACAAGCTGCTCTAAGGGCTGTGAGGTCAGTGTAGGGTGTATGTCTGTCTGTCTGTCTGGGGAGGCTGGAGTTGGGGCATTCAAGCAATGGTCTAGAAGATGTGGTGTTTGAATTAAGTAGTGAACAGGAAAAGGTGAAGAAAGTGAGTTCAGAGTGTGACTCAGAATGCTGTATGGCTCTGGGTGACCAATCCTGAATCTCCTTATCTAAGGCATCTGGCATTTACCCCAGATTTTAGAGAGACATAGAACCAAAACATGAGGAGAGACATGATACATATGAACTAGAAAATCATTGCTGGCTACCAAGTGTCCCCCACCCCAAATAGCAGATATTTCCAGAAGCCATTTTCAGTCATTTACACTTTAGTGAGAATTTGTTGACTTAGCTCAATTTCTCTTGGTGAGAGATGAGGTGGGAGCTAGGTGGGCCGGAGGAGAGAGGATGGTGGGCCATGGAGGGACAGGGAGGGCATGATGACACGGCATAGGAAGTTGCCTCGGGAAGGTGGGGAAGGGCAGGGAAGTGGAGCCCTTAGAGGAGGGCAGAGAGGGTACCCCACTTTTGACCTGCTGACAGCCACTACCTCATCTGCAGGGCACAGGCCTGAGTGCACAAGGTTTTAAGGACTCTCTGCTCTTCTGACCATTCAGTGGGCAAGAGAGAAAGGGAGGCAGGCCAGGCCGGTGGACAGCAGAATAAAGAAACTCTGTGCAGAGACAATGCCCACTCCAGCCTGATTGTGAGGACACTGCTCCTTGGCAACCGCAGGCTCTGAGAAGGGCCCACTGCCAGGGTCCCTATGTGTTGGGCACTTCCTTTCAGCCTTCCTGAAGGTTAGGCTTTCCCCAGCTTCAGCACAAGCCAGGCATCTTGGGAAATGTCCCTGGAGGCAGCCAGGCCAGGGCAGACCAAGGATGGCTGCTGAGCCCACCCCAGGCTGTGTGACCCTGGACTAGGTTCTGTCTCTCTCTGGGCCTCAAGGCTCCTGTCTGAATAGGCAAGCATCCTAGACTCTGCATTAGGGGCACCTGGGAGCTGGGAGGGCCCTCTCCTTCCTGCAAACTTTAGGAAGGTGCACTGTACTGTCTACCAGCCGTTGGCCTCAGGGTAGAGATTAGCTGTGGCCAGTATCCAGGGTCATTGTGGGGATCAGGGAGAGTGGTGGCCTCAGCAGGCTGGGGATTAGCAGGTGATACTCCATCCCCAGCTGCTTGGAGGAGTACAGGCTTCCTCCCTCCCAGGAAGGTCAGGCTGTGAGTGCCTGAGCCTAGCACCTTAAAGCTCTGGGACCAGGACCCCCTGAAGTGGCACCCTCTTTTTCCACAGAAAAGCCCTCTTCACCGTGGATGATTTTAGGACTGTCAGCAAGAGTCTCTGTGAGAGTCCAATGTAGATAAACTTCCTATTTTCATGTCACCCTGTTTACTTGGCCACTGGCCAAGAAGATTCCAGCACTCCAGGTGCTAGACACACCTTACTAGTTTTTCACGAATGTATCCAGTATAGTATTTTGTAGAAAAGTGCAAACAAGGCCTCTAGCCTTGAGCTGGGCTTCACAGAGATGTCTACATTTTTAAGATAAGTTACCAACTGGGCTCCATGGTAACAGCTGGTAGGGGGAGGAAAGAAAGGAGAGAAGCCACTCTCCCTTTCTCAGGTGTGGTCCTTGAAGGGTTAACTTGCCCAAAACAGTGAAAGAAAAAGCTGCTTTTATGTGAACTTCTGCAGACTGTGAACTACTGAGCCCCTCCCCTTACACGCTGGGTATAAAACTCTGAAACTCCTTGAACTCGGGGTTCAGGGGATTGATTGATTACAGCAAAAGCTGTGCCCTCTGAGCCTGGCTGCAGCCAAATAAAACTGTTTCCTGCTGTCTCTGGTGCCTGGCCTCCTTTGTCCCTACAACACCCCCAGGTGAGGGAAACAGGTAAGGCTGAACTACTTTGCATATATTTGAATACACTTTGCATATGCCTGCCCAGGTTCTGAACCTGACGGGTCCTAGGACCCCTGCTTAGATTTGTGTAGACTTTGGTTCACAGTTGCTCCAGCTTCATCGTTCAGGGAGACCCCAGAGCAGCATCCCCAAGTTCAAACTCCCAGAGTTTACTCCATTCACCACCACGACCCCCAATTTATTTTTAACAATTCTATAGTTATAAAAAAAAAGAAATTAAGAAAGTACATCAATATATAATTAAACCAGTAATAAGTTATAAATTGAGACTCTCCTATAAGCACTACAGTTCAAGACATGGGCTACTACTCTGCAAAACAGTAAGCAGTTTCTTATGAAGTGAAACATCAATTTGCAGTGTGATGGGATCATATGGAAGACTCTACCATTAGGGATTGTCTCAGGAGAAGTGAATGTGTATATCCATGCCAATGTTTCATAGCAACATAATTTGTTAATAAAAATTTTTGGTGTAGTTGGACACAATACCTTTATTTTATTTATTTATTTGTATGTGGTGCTGAGGATCAATCCCAGGGCCTCGAACATCCTAGGTGAGCTCTCTACCACTGAGCCAAAACCCCAGCCCCAATAGCAACATAATTTATAGCCAAAAAGTAGACCTAAGCCTAGTATCTGCAGATTCATGAGTTGATAGGCAAACCGTGGCGTGCCTCTACCTGGAAAGTTCCGGGCACTAAAAAAAAAAAAAAATGAAGTATACATCTCCAAGGTAGGTGAACCTCAAAAACAAGTGACATGAATGAAACCAGACTCAAAAGCCCCATATTTTCCCCCCTAGTACTGGAGACAGAACCCAGGGGCATTCGACCTCTGAGCTACATCCCTGATTCTTTTTATCTTTTCAGACAAGGTCTCACTAAATTGCTGAGGCTGGCCTTCAACTTGGGACCCTCTTGCCTCAGCCTCCGGGGTCCCTGAGATCACAGGCATGCTCCACATGTCCAACAAGCTTCACGTGTTACATGATCCATTTACATTAAATGTGCAAAGTAAACACATAGACACAGAAAGCAGATTGGCGGCTGCCTGGGCTGGAGGGAGGAGTGGAAAGAGACTGTCAGCCAGGACCAGGGCTCTCATCAGAGCGATGGAAGTGTCCTAACTCCAGATGTTGGGGATAGTTGATAGTTTAATTTACTAAAAACCTTGGCTTGTATGCGTAACATGGAGGCATTTGATGGCATATAAAGTCTTCCTCAATACAATTGTTTAAAAAAGTAGCTGCCAGCATAAAAGAAAGCAAGAAAAGGGGGGGACACTGTGACTTTCTAGAAATTTCCACAGTCCTCTTCTCAATCATGACCCCCAATCCAAGAAGCAACTGTTCCCGTCTTGTAGTGTAACCGCTGCTTTTCTTTATGGTGATATTAGGTATATTTGCAGCCATAAGTACATCAGGTCATTCACCTCTTGAACTTTGCATACATGGACATTGGGGTGTCTACACACACACACACACACACACACACACACTTCATTACCTACTGCACTTAACGAATCAGAAGTGGTTTTCTCCTCAAAACTCTTCCTCCTCACCTCCAGACCCAGGCTCTCATTTAAGGTAAAAGTTGCCAGGTGCCCAAGCTTAACCAACACCTCCTTCCCCTCCTCCTATCTTTATTGCCACCAGCCTAGTCCAAGCTCTGTCATCTGTCCCCATCAGGTCTGAGGCAAGAGTGACCATCACTGCTTATGCAGGCGACCACTCACCAGCCCAGGCGGGCGGAAGAGTTCCTGTTCCTGCAGAGTCCTGTTGGAGGTGCTGTGAGGAGCAGCAGCCTGGCATGTTTATGGGGGGGGGGGACAGGGGTCACCTTGAACTGTGCGCTGGGTTTGTCCTTGCCAACAGAAAGAACATTCTCCCACACCCCTGGCCTCGGGAGGGTGTTGCCTATCAGAAGTCCTGAAGGGCCCCACATTGGAGGGGGGATACCAGGGGTCACCTAGTCACAGATTAGCTTGTCCCTCTTCAGGCTGGACTTCCTCAGCAGTTCCTGCTCCCGCGCCTGCCTACTACACAACAGCCACGCATGTTCTGCCCAATTTGCGTTCAACACCACCTCAGGGGCCGGGGTCTACATGTGTGTGCCCCCCAGAATCCCTATGCTGAAACCTAATCTCCATGCAACAGTGGGGCCTCCAGGAGGTGATTGGGCAGGGGGTTACACCCTCGAGAAGGGGACGGGGCCCTCATAAAAGAGGCCAGAGAGAGCTTGCTCACCCCTCCTTTCAGGGGCTACATGGAAGGCACCATCTGTAGGGAGCAAACTCTTACCAGACACCAAATCTGCTGCCCCATGGGCCTCCAACCTCTGGAACAGGAGCCGTACTTCCTGTTGTTTATTGATCACCCAGCATACGGGGTTCTGCTGAGCAGCTCCAATGAGCTCAGACATGGACTTCCACGGTCCATCAACCAAACCCTTCTATGGCCAAGAGGCCCTATGGGGTCTCACCCTGCCCACTTCCCATCCTCCCCCACTCCTCTGTGCCCACTGGACTCCCTGCCCCCTTGGTGCCCTTTCTGCTCCTCAAGACTCATTCTGGCCTCGGGACTTTCCCCCGGCAGTGTCCTCTCTCTGGAGCACCGTCCATGTGATCTTTTCAGGGTAGAGACTTCTTGCTTTTCATGTCTCAGCTCACACAGATCTGCTTCTTCCTAGAGGCCTCCTACCCAGGGCCCTCATGACACGTCTCTGTCCTGTCGGTTTCTTTGGTGGCTCTGGCATACTTGGCAATATTTCTTAATTTGTCCTTCTCTGCCTCCTCCCCTGGAATGCAAGCTCCAGGAGGGCAGGCCCTAAGTCTGTCCTGCTCAACACACCCGGGGCTGCCCACTGCCCAGGGCAGGAAGAGCTCCCCAAACGTTGCACCTGGTCAAGTCCCTGCCTGCCCTTTGCTGAGCGTTCACCAACCCCATCTGCCACCCAGGTCCTGCCACCTCACTGAGCCCCTCTTCCCTTGGCCCCTGTTCCTTGCAGCCCTGGAGCCCCAGGTCTCTGTCTCCCCTCTGGGGTCCAGCTCAGTTCAGATCAGAGGCAGCCAGTGGTCCACCAGTCTTCGGATCCTGTGAGGGTTACTTCCCAGTGTCATCTGGACTGGACTAGGGATGCTGAGAGAGTCGGTGAAGCCCACCTCTGGGTGTGTCTGTGAGGGCGTTTCAAAGAAGTTTGGCATACGGGTGACCTAGGTGGAGGAGATGGGCCCTCAGTGCGGGGACACCATCCGATTGACGAGGGCCTGAATGGAACAGGGAGGAGAAGGAATGGGTAAATTCTTTGGTCCTTCCTCCCTGCGTGGGCGTGTCTTCTCTTGCTGGGCCCTTGAACTGTGGGACTTGCACCAGCTGCCCTGCACGTCTCCCTGAGACTGAGGCCTCTGACTTTGGCCTCCCCAGTTCTGAGCCTTCATAATCTATTGACTCAGTTTCTCTGGAGAACCCCTACTAATGCAGATTTGATCTAAAGTCTCAGTCCTGGAACCCTGTCATTCTGGAAGATCTCAAGCTATTGAAGACAGCAGGAAAAAACAAACAAACAAACAAAAAAACCCAACACTGTGAACCCTGGCATCGGGGCTGGGAAGCAGGGGTACACCTCCTGCTCCTGCTGACTGAGTTGACAAGTTCCTGTCACCCCGAGGACTCTCCCAGAACCACACAGGACTCCAAACTGTTATTCTCCTAGCAGCCAGTCAGACTGTGGCTTGGCCAAGGTATGAGGGGAGCCAGGCCCTGGTACCTGGGCAGGTTCCCTGGCAACACATAGGGCCCCAAATTTAGACCCAGGTCCCTGCTGGACACTCGGGGATTGCTGTGGCTCCCTGGGCATCAATCATCTCTTTTCCACCCCTCCCCTCCCTTTGGCACCTGTTAATCCTTTGCACACGGCCCAGCCCCCGCCAGTTAATCCCCCAGGGCCTCAGAGGCCAGTCCACGAGTGGCAGCGAGAAGGTGATTCCTGGCTGGCAGTTGGCATCTGAGCAGGTAATTCAGGATGAGGTGGTGGCTTGGTGGGACCCCAAGGGTGTCTACATGCTCAGCTTCCAACAAGGCATTTAATCAGGACCAAAAAGACAAGGCTTCCCTCTCTCCACCTCTTCCTCCCTCTGCAGGGCTGAGACTTTAGCATGAGTCAGGATCTTTGGGGCAGCTTGGGAAAAGCAGATTTCTGGACCCTCCCCAGAGGGTTTGGAGGGACCTAGGAGTCTGGATTTTCAACAGCTTCCAAGAAGATACTGAAAATGCTGGTGATCCAATACCATGGTTCCCCGGGCTGCCACTCCCAGGTCCCTGTCTGGCCTGAGTCTCCCTCATAAAGTGGAGTCAGCAAGATGTGGCAGCAAGATGGGTGGGGGTGGGGCTGCCCACATTCCTTCCCATCCAGGAGGAACTGGCAGTGACTAGGGGAAGAAGAAAACTTCCCTAGGGCTTGGAGACAGCTTCCCCAGGCATTTCTAGAAGATTCATACCAAGTCACGGTCAGTTGTTGCTCACCAGGAGAGGACCTACAGGTCAGGCCTGTAGAAGAGGCCAACTCTTGGCAACTTCAGTGCCCCTGGGGCAGATGTCGGGCAGATGACAGGCAGCTGAAATTGGGCAGACTTGTGTGCAAACTCAGCTTGGTCAATCTCGGTCACAACCTTTGACCCGTTTGTGCTTCATATGAAAATACTGATCTCACTGTGTGGAGTGTCATGCGGCTGCCTGACCCCAAACGTGTGACCTTGAGCTGTCCCGATCTGGGAAATCTCTGTATCCATGTGCCCCACCCAACAGGGACCCGGAAGACAAGAAGGGTCATGTCTGGCCCAAGTTCACCTGTTTGGAGGCTGATCTGACTCCTTACCCAGAGCTCCGTCCCCACCACAGCTTCTCATGGGAGAAGGTGGGCTGCTAAGACCAGAGCAGGGACAGAGGTCAGGGTGGTGTGGCCAAGGGCACTGGGGAGCTGAGCGCTGGGGCAGGGATCCTGGGGCCTGAGTCTACCCTTTCCAACATGGGGCTGGGGTCCTTGGCAGAGAGGGGCATGGCCTTGGGCAGGATGGCATCCAACATGGCCTTGGAAGGGGCTGTCCAGGGCTGGGAGTTGGTGCGTTGACCTGTATGGTGGTGACCGGGCCAGGCTATCCTGCAGGGGTCTGGTCTCACGGTTCCATGTACTTCTCATTCACAGAAGACAGTGGACTGGAGGCTGAATTGTGTGAATACCAATCACCTTAAACCAAAAAGAAGGTCCAATGGGTGTTTTACCTTAAAAATTAAAAAATCATGAATATTGGTTAATGTTATCTTAAACAGATCAGATTTTCCATTCTTATGTTAATTACAAAGTATACTTTTATTTATTATGAGATTATGCAGTTATGCAGTACATTATATTCCATGATTGGCATCTTCACTAGATATCACAGAGTAGCCACGGGCAACATTTATGAAGCCCTGGGCCTGTGCCGGATCTCACTGTTTTGAGTATGTTGTACTTATTAATTCTTTTATCCTCACAATCTGCCCACGAGGTAGGTAACTATCTAGGTGCCTTTTTGTGTGTGTGTGATGCTGGGGATTGAACCCAGGGCCTTGTGGCCTTGTGCATGCGAGGCAAGCGCTCTACCAACTGGGTTATAGCCCTAGTCCTATGTGCCTTTTTTTTTTTTTTTTTGTATCAAGGATTGAACCCAAGGATGCTTAGCCACTGAGCCGCATCCCCAGCCCTCCCCCACCCACCCCTTTTTAAAAATTGTTAATTTTGAGACGGGGCCTGGCTAAGTTGCTTGGGGCCTTGCTAAGTTGCTTAGGGCCTTGCTAAATTGCTGAGGCTGGCTTTGAACTCGTGATCCTTCTGCCTCAGGCTCCCAAGACATCAGTGCACCCATTTTACAAGCAAGCCAAACTAAGGCTCAGAGAGTCTAACTGATCTTCTCCTGGCTCAGCTCCCTGTGCGTCTTCTCTGGTGATTTCTAACTGATTTGCCTCTTCCTTTTTAATGGGTCCCTATATTCCAGTATTGAATGTCCCATAATTTACTCATATGTGCACTTCTTACAGGTGAATACTTCGGTACTTTCCAATAACCAATCTTCTGATGGATATTTGGGTATTTTTCATCTTTTGCCGTAACACTATTGCAACCGGCCTCTTCCTACACAATTGTGTATGGCCTTGAGTCATTCTATAAAGTAAATATCTTGAGAAACAATTGCAGATTTTTTTTTTTAATGATGAGCAGGAAAACAAATGGGTATCCCATAACAGTGGCCCATAGATGCTGGCAGCAACTGTGCACACTCTGGGTTGGCCTAAGGACTGTCATTTACAGGTAGCAGGATGCTGGGCTGGGTCCAGAAGGTGCTGCCTCAGCCCCCCGGAACTCCTCAGAAGACTGAGATGGAGGAGGAGGAGGAGGAGGAAGAGGCAGAACTGGAGTCGGAGCTAGAGCTGGAACCGGAGGTAAAACCAGAGCCAGAGTCTCAAACAGCCGCTGAGGAGAGGGCCTCCCTGGGGAGAAGCAGAGGGTGGAGGAGGGCAGGCTCCCTTGTGCTCAGGGACTTCCTGGCATGGCCCACCTGCTCCCCAAGGACCTTCTACAACAGAAAAAGGTGAGATCAGAAAGAAACATGGCGGACACTCAGGCCCGAAGACTGTACAGTGCTTGCCTGAGGCTGTTTCTGTAGAAGGCCAGATAGTGACTAGTATAGGCTTTGTGGGTTATGCCATCTCTGTTACTCATCTCTGGTATTATAGTGTGAAAGCAGCTATGGAAAATGCTTCAACAAATGAGCATGGCTGTGTTCCAATAAAACTTTATTTAAAATCAAGCATTGGTTTGATATGACCCACGGACCATATTTTACCAACATCCTTGCGTCTAGAGCAGAGCCACTCCAAGTAGCCAGCCAATGAACTATTTGTTATTAGTCCAGGATGACATTAGGAACTTGATCCAGAATGTAGATCTACTGTGTAGCTAAGTACACTGCTGAGTTCAGTTGGTGTCTGTTTTGTAGTGAGGCCTTCTTGATTGAGAAGCAGGGAGTTAATACACATCCTGGTGCAACTGTTTAATCATCACGAACCAAGAACATTTTGCACACTGGCACTGGTTCATGTCCCACAGTTTGAGGGAAATTTCTCTAGAATTTTCCTTCAAGCGTATCTTGGAAGGAAAAGCTTGCCAGCTCTGCATCCCATCCATTCAGGAACCGGGTGACAAGTAATTTAGCAGCTCAATTAAATGGAATTGATTTAGCTTCTAATGGATGCTGGGCCTGTGCTCAGTGCTGAAGACATACAGATGGATAAGGCATTGCTTTGGGGGTCAGCAGACGAGTGCCTAGCCAGCTGATTCTGCCAGGAGATGGTTGGTGAGGCGATGTGGCCAGCCTCCGCATTGGCCTCAGCTCTGCCCCTCTGGCAGGGCCAAATAAATGTGTCAGACTGGGAATTACAGGAGTGCAGGAGAGAGTCACCTTTGGAGATTGGAAGCTGGTGGGGGATGGTTCCTAGACAGAGGCTGGGGCAGAATCTTAACTGTTGGAGATGGAGAGATGGGTTGTTCCTGGTGGAGAAAGGCCCTTACTGCAGTAAGTGAAGGGCATGTTTAGGAAACAGCTATAGGATTTGTATGTATGTATGTGTACACGTGTGTATGCATGTGTGTAGTGTGTCCTTGGTGTGATATCTGTGTGCACACATGTTTGCAACTTGGGCATGCATGCCATTGTCTGTGTGCATCTATATGTATGTGTACACACAGGTGCTCATGTATGTGCACATGTATTAGTGTATATATGGTTCCATGGGTGTGTGACATGCTACTGTGTATAAGCATGTTTCTGAGTATGGGAATGTATTCAAGTGTTTATTCACATATGCACCTTTGGGTGTTTAAATACACATGCATTCACATATTTGCCTTTCTCTATGTATATACACATCCTCTGTGTGAACATGTATGTTCATGTATGTTACATGCTAAAATTGGTATATGTGCAAGTATACATGTATTTATGCATGTTTGTACTTCTATGCAAATATGAGCATATGCATATGCTTATTTATGCTACTGAGCATGTGTATACACATGCTCAAAGGACGTGCTCCTTTGTCTTTATATATGCAAATGTTATTTGTGTGCACATGCCCATGTCTGTATGTTTACACACTAGATTGATTGAGAAACAATCAATTTGTATCTGTGTGCCTGAGTGCATGTGTGTATATGCACGTGGTTGCATGTGCACGTGTGTGTATATTGGAGTATGCAGTGTACTTATGCACAAATGTATATGTGTATAGATTCTGTTCGTACATGTGTTCACGTGTGTATTCACTGACCTTGTACGTGTATGTTTATGTGTTACTAGATTATGAGTGGGTGCACACATTCATATCTGTGTATCTGTACATATACAAAATCCATGTAAGTGTGTGTGCACATTTGTGTGTGTATGTACATGTGTGCTTGTCTATGTGTATATACAGGTGATGCAGTAGCAGGAGGTGTGGCCGCAGAGGTAGGTGAGAGGCAGATGACAGAGGCTGGACTCCACCTAGCTGCTAGAGAGGAATGGAAAATTGAGGTCAGAGGAGGGAGGGCCCTGGCTGGGATGAGGGGTCGTCTTCTGACTCTCCTTTCCCCTCAGCCTGTCCCCAGCCTTCATGACTTCACTGCATCTCCCTCTTCTCAGGCCACTGAAGTGGGGCAGCTTCTGGGGGGGATGATAGGACTGAGAGGCTGGAAGGCCGGGAGGCCACCATCAAGGGGGTGTGAGGCCCTCGCCCTGGGGGAGCCCCCCGCCGAGGCCAGGAGGAAGGGAGCATCTGAGGCCACAAGAACTTATAGAGATGATCATAGAATAGAGTTGTTCAGTCCTTTGGGGGTGGGGGGTCCCTTGTGGATGATCCAGAGGAAGCTCCTGTTTGAACCAGGCAGGTCTCAGAGCTTACGTGGTCCTGTTTGAACCCTCCAGCCCCTGGAAGAACCAGCTGATGAGGAGGAAGTGACTGTGGCTGACTCAGGTCTTCAGGGTGAGTGCTGGAAGCTCGGCCAGCGGGCAGGGAAGCCGAGATCTCCCCTGAGAGCTGTGGTAGCCCATTTCACTGATGAAGAAACTGAGGCCTAGAGAGGCTCAGGGTGGGTTCCTGGAGAATTTTTAGGCCTTTTGATCCTTAGGATTTTCCCTTGTCCCCTGCCTTTGACTTGATCTTCCCAACAGAGTAGAAATGGCCCTCTCTGGGGGCCCAGATTTAAAGTCTGGGGACTCTTCCAGAGACCCAGAATGATGCCCCTCCTCTGCCCACAGCCCTCCAGGCCCAAGCTGCGGAGTTTCCTGATGTGAACAGGTACTGCACCCTCATCACCTCTCCCTGGGGCTGGGACCGCCACTCCCTCCAGGGAGCCACGGGGGGTGGGCAGGGGGGACAGGCATTTGGTCTATAGTCATTCTGAGCCATTAGGTGGAGGGGCTCCTGGGCCAGATGGTCATTGTGACCAAGAGAGATGGAGGGGGAGAGCTGTAGTAATGGGTACTCTCTTTGAGGGGGCCAGATGTATCTCAGGAGTGGGGTAATTTTACCCTAGAGCCAAAGTCTTATTCTCCCAGTGAAGCCAGAAATCTAGACTTGTCCCTTGTGGGTGATCCAGAGGCAGCTCCTGTTTGAACCAGGCAGGTCTCAGGGCTTACGTGGTCCTGTTTGAACCCTCCAGCCCCTGGAAGAGCCAGCTGATGAGGAGGAAGTGACTGCGGCTGACTCGGGCCTTCAGGGATGTGGGGGGAAGAGGCTGGCCCTACCGTTCTGAGCAGCCTGAGAGTGGGCTCCAAAGGCACTGGGCATAGTGGGCCCATTTTCTTTTCCTTTTTTTTTGGGGGGGGGGTTTACCAGGGACTGAACTCAGGGGCATTTGACCACTGTGCCACATCCCCAGCCCTATTTTGTATTTTATTTAGAGACAGGGTCTCACTGAGTGGCTTAGTGCCTCACTTTTGCTGAGCCTGGCTTTGAACTCACGATCCTCCTGCCTCAGCCTCCCGAGCTGCTGGGATTACAGGTGTGCGCCACCAGGCCCAGCATGGGCCCACTTTTTAGAGAGAAACAAGAGGCTCAGGAGGAAGGTGATATGCCTGAAGTCTCACGGTGCAGACTGGGTTTGATTCAAGCCAAGTCCCTTGGGATACTATGAACTGTCACTGGACCCTGGGGTGGGTGTTGAGGGTGGCTGGTGTCTCTGTCCCCCACAGTCCCAGCGGTTGGGTGCTGACTTGGCTCAGGAAAGGCATGGAGAAGGTGGTACCACAGCCCGTCTGCAACGGCAGGGCAGCCCACACGGCCGCCGGCACGGAGGCCCCAGCTCAGGTAGTGCTGGGGCTGGCGGTGGAGGAGGGCCCGCTGGGGGCAGCCTAGCCTGGGTCCCCTGCCATGTTTCCCTGTCTGTCCCCGGCAGGCCGGAGCACAGATCCTTGGGCACCATGGCACAGGGAACACAGGTAAGATCAAGAGGCGGGACGGCTCTTCAGGGTTGAGAGGCTGTTGGGATGGCCTTGGCCTCTGGGGAGAGGCCACCTGGGCCAGGGCTTCTCATTGACTGGGCCTGGGCTCTGGCCTGAATGCGAGAGGTCCCTTGGTGCCTGCTTGAGGCTGACCCAGGGCTCTGGGCACGTCCCTTGCCATTGCCCATCTTTCTCTCTCCTTCCTTCTCTTTCTTCCTCCCTCTCTTCCCATTGATTTTATGATTTGTTTTGATTTTGGGCACCAGGGATTGAACCCAGGGGCACTCCACCACTGAGCCCCATCCCCAGCCCCATTTTGCATTTTATTTAGAGACAGGGTCTCACTGAGTTGCTTAGCGCCTCGCTTCCCTAGTGGCTGGGATTACAGATGTGCGCCACCACATCTGGCCTGACTTTATGTTTTATTTAAAATTTGTGGATGCATTTAAATCTTTAAAATTGGATTTATTTTTAAACTATACATACAAATTCAAGGTCTGTGTATACGAATGAGGTGTCCTGTGCTGTTCCAATGCATGTGCACGTTGTGTAATCGGGTGAAGCCTCTCTGTCCCCTCTGGCACTTGTCATTCCTTCCTCGTGGCAGTGAAAGGGTCCTGGACCCCTTTTCTAGCTTTTCGAGGTGGGCGGTCACTGTCTACTCGCCCTGCTGCACCCCAGACCTGCGTCCTCCAGCCAGCTGCCGTGTGGCCCTCACAGAGCCGCCTCCCGGTGCCTCCCTCCCTGCCTGTCTCTGTTTTCTGACCCCGCAGGGTCTGCAGGTGGATCCAGTGAGTTCCCAGGGGCCCAGGATATCAGGTAAGTCCCTGTCGCGGTCACTGGAAGCAGGGCTTGAACAGCCCTGGGAGACACTGGGGTCCTCGGTTGTTCAGCCTCATGTTGGCAACAGCGTTGGACTTCTCAGAGCTGATGGGTGTGGGTGGGGCGGCTGCCTCATCCCGGATGGCTGCAGGACAGGTGAGCCCAAGGCACCCAGGAGGGGTCCTGATCAGGTCCAACCCCTTCTAACTGCAGGCCCACTGTGGCAAAGGTCTCTGGCGTTTTACCAAAAAGCTAGAAATATAGATTTTTATGTACCATCTGTAATTGTTGGATATTGCCAACTAATTGAGATGCTTTCAGGACTCTGTGGGTCCCCAATGTGAGCCTGAAACTTCCAGTTTTTGATTTTTCCTGTAATTTCAGAGTCATACACTCAACTCCAGTCACCCTTCACTCATTCCTTCCCTAGACTGCAGGCCCATGGAGGGCAGGGGCTTTTGTCCTGGTCACTGCAGAGCCCTGGTGCCCAGCATGGTACCTGGCATTGACTGCGGACTCAGCACCCAGGGGACACATAACCAGATGAATGAGTGGACGTAGAGGACGTACCAGGCTTTTCTTCATGTTGTTTCCCCTTTTCCTCTCCTCCCTCTTCTTCTTCGTCCTCCTCTTCCTCCTCCTCCTCTTTCTTCCTCTTCTTCTTTGTGGAAGAGTAGGACTTATTGAAGTGAGAAGAAACAAGACAGAGCTCTCACAGGGGACCTGATAGTAGGTTCCCAGTCAGGGAGCTAGTCTAGGGGTTCATGAGCTAGGTAGGGCCACTGGTCACTATCTATGCTGAACAGATATTGGAAAAGTGCCCAGATTGTGAGCTTTCTTTAGGGCCTGGAGCTTCCCTCAGGAGGTGGGGGCTTCTGGAGTCCAGATAGATTTGGACCCAATATTTGCCCCTGGGACCAGCTGCATAATTGACGTAAAATAAAAACGCAGAACCCCTTTAAAATGATGAATAATTTTCAGTTTATGGCAATAGTGCATTAAACATAATAAAACTTCTAAGTATGGGGTCCCATGTTTATACAGTCACACTCCCGTGAAGCCACTCCTGTCCATGCCAGCCACGGAGCCCCACCCCCAGGCTGCATCCAGGCATCTCCTACTCCTCCCCTGCTGCCCAAGAGCCCAAAGCTGGGTCAGGGGCAGAGCCGGGTCCAGCCTTGGATCTAAAGTCGAGGTTGGCAGCTTCCCCACCACCATGGGGCCCTTTGAGAGCATCCAGTACAAGGTCCCACTGCCCAGGGCCAGGAAGAGCTGGTGGGCAGTCAGGAGAGTGTGCCTGGCTCCTTCCCTTAGGTCACCTGTGTGTCTGACCATTGGCCCTCCTTAGGCCCAGCCCATGGCTGCTCAGGTGGCTGGAGCAGAATCTGGAGAAAATGCTACCTCAACCCCCAACACCGGCTAAGGTGAGTGGACGGTAGGAGGGACCTCAGCTGGCCACCTGGGAGAATTTGGGAGCCCAAGGGGTGGGGACTGACTATTCCAGCAGTTTCTCCCCCAGGGGTCCAAGAGGGGTGAACCTCGCCTGGGATCATCCTAAATGGGGAGGAGTCACTGCCCAGGGTGCCATGGGGGGACTTGGGGGCATGATAGAGCCCTCTGCCCTGGCCTCAGGTCAGGGACAGCTGGCTAGGATGGGGCATGTGCAGAGCTTTTACCAATGTCTTTGCTCCCCACCTGCCGTCCAGGGCTTGACTGCTGAGCCTGCAGATGCTGTCCTGGGCCCAGGTACAGAGAGGGGGCCTGGGAGGGGCTGCTTGGGTGGTTATGGGCTGGGCTGGGGGAACCCCGGGGAATCTCAGGGGAGACCCTTGGTCTTCATCTGGGTCAGTGAGCAATTCCGGCCTTTCTGGGAGTGGATTGTTGTGGGAGGGCACTGGAGCCAGTCCAAGCTGGGGAGCCTAAGGCTTGGGGCAGGTCTCATTCATTTTGTGAGACCTTGGAAAGTCCCTCCCTCTCCCTGCTCTTTTCGATGCTAGAGTTGTTTGGAGTGGTCCCAAGGGTCTCCCTGCCTGGTCACGTTAGTGCTTTGGATCTGACCCCCTGAGGCCTGGAGGGACCAGGTGGAGCCCTGCTGTGAGCTCTTCAGCCCCTGCTCTCCCTCTGCTCAGAGCCTCCAGAACCCCCGCTGGAGACGGAGCCCACGCCACAGGACCCCGAGAGCTCCTGTGTGACCAGTCTCGAGGAGGAGCCAGCTCCAGAGCCCCAGCCCAGCCTCCAGACCTCCTCCCTGCCACCACCTGCGGACTCTGCCCGGTGAGCCCTCCTAAATGTCTTCTCCCCACCTCGGGGAGCACGGTCAGTGCCTGGCCCCAGCCCAACACCCCACCTTCACAAAACTAGCACATTGAATTATGGAATTAACACATGCACCAGGGAGAAAATTCAATGGACTCTCCAAGTCCCTCCCAGGGCAACCCCGGGTTCTTGCCTTCCCCAGGTATACCCTTCCCCAGGTGAGGACACTGTTCCTTAAACAACACACCTAGCAAGGGTGATCTATAGGCAGGAATCTGCATGTTGCTTTTTCACTTAAAAATGCATCTTGGAGGTGGGTTTGTGCACAGAGCTGCATTTCGTTCTTCCACTAGCTGTGTAGTGCTCCATCAGGTGGACACGGCAGCTTTGATTTAACCACGCGGTGGACGTTGAGTTTGTTTCCACCCTTGTGCTGCAGTCAGAGCCTCTCCTGGCCTCCTGGGGCTCCTGCCCAAGTAAATCTGTAGAATAAATCGTGAAAATGGAACTGGGCTAAGGGTGACATACAGTCAAAACCGGGTTGGGTGGTGGCCTGGGATGTACGGAGCTGGTGGTGGAGGGCTTTTCTAGCGTGTGCATGGTCCTGGCTTCAGCCCCCAGGTACCAAAACAACAACAAATCCGGATTAGAGCTGCCAAATGCGAGCACCCTGGCAGAGTGAGAGGGCGGAAATGCAGCTCCAGGGGTGGGGTGGGGGTGGGTGCCCGAGCTGCCTACTAGGACCCAAGCAGTAGGCAGAGCCCACCCAGGGGATGGGGAGGGGAGGAAGGAATTGTTCTTTAGAGCTGGAGACGTGGCTGGGCTCTGAGGCCTGCTGTTGACCTGTGGAGGGAGTTGGCGGTGGCCTAGTCTCCCAGGGATGGGGGTGGGGGGCTCTCCCGCTGGAACACAGCCCGCTCTGCCCGCAGGTTGCTAGCGTGGCTCCTACACAGGCTGGAGAAGGCCCTGCCGCAGCCGGTGCTCCCTGGGAACAGCCGGGAGCAGGTCAGTGCTGGGCCTGGGCAGTGGGTCCTGGCCAGTGGGGGGATGGGGATCTTGGGAGCTCAGGGAAGGGTGGGGTGGTTGGCCTGATCCCTGGAGGGTGGGGACACCTACCGTGAGAACCCAGGCCCTGCAGCCTGCCTGTCTGAAGCCCATGTTCACTTTACCCAGACCCTTTGCGGCTCTGTGGCCACCGGCTGAGACGTGCTGGCCCAGCCCACTGCCAGGGCCTCACAGTCCTTTGGGAACATGTGGGGAGTAGAGAGGGTGTAGGACTCAGAGGTGGCACCTCCTGGGAGCAGCAAGGAAAGCGTCCCAGTAGAGGTGACCTCCAGGTATGCTCCAAGGCCCAGTGACAAGAGGCCTGGAATGTCCTGAGAAGAAGTGGGGGTTCACAGGAAACCAGCAGGCCCCGTGTGCAAAACTGACAACCTAGGACACCAACGTGGGGGGTGGGGGGGAGCAAGGCCTCTGTCACTGTGTCTTTCCTTCCCCAAGATCCTGGGACCTGGTCTTTCTTTTTTGGGGGACAATTGGACATTTTCATAGAAGCTCTTGGAGCTGGGAGTGGAAGCCTAACCTCAGTCCAGGCTGTGTGAGTGTGGCCATGGCCCTCTCAGAGCCCCATTGTCCCACCCGAGCAAGGAGCGGACAGTGGCTCACTCCCCAGGGGTGTGAGAAGGCAGGAAAGAATTCTGTGAGCAAAGGCATGTAGGCCCAGGAGAGAGGAAGGCCTGGCCGGTTTCTGGGCCTCTGGGTCACTCAAGGACCCAGCCTGGCTCCTCCAAGCGGAGACCTTTGTTGTGGCTGTCTGGGGACACCCTCCCCACCTGCCTCACTGAGCCAAGACTGAACCTCAAACCCCTCTCCCAATTCCCTCACGGTCTGTGGGCACAGCAGGGTCCTCTATGGGCCACCTGAGGCCTACAGAGGCGAGCCAAGGTCACACGTGGCTGGAGTTCCAACTCCATTTCCAGGCGCTTGTGGCTTCCAGGCACATCCTGCCCTCTCCAAGGCTGCTTCCTGTGCGGAGGGAAGTGGGCAGGAAACAGGCTACCCACGCCTCAGGTCTGCAGAGGAAGTGCGACAACCCGGTTTTCCAAGACACACGGGGCTGGGTGGCAATTAGCGGATGAAGATGTCCTCACAGGGTCACAGGGCCCTGGGGAGGAGGCTGGGGAAGTGGGTTCCCCTGGTGAGAGGCCTTGGAGGAGCAGGGAGCTTGGAGGGGACCCTCCTGGGAGGGTGGGAGGAGGATCTGACACGGAGGCCAGCGGGTGGGGGGTTCCAGGCGAGCCCACCCTAGCAAAGGTGGTGAGGGGGGCCCAGGAAGTGGCCCTGGTGGGAGAGGGCTGGAGCAGGGTGGCTCTGAGGCAGGAGAGCCCAGGCAGGGAAGAGTGGAGCAAGTCCCAGGAAAAGCCCTGCCGGCTCCTGCAGGCACCACCCAACTCGGTTTTAACTGTATGTCACCCTTAGCCCTGACCCCCCTTTTCTCCCCACAGGAGCCTGGCTCCCCGCAGACGTGTGACGCGCAGACCAGTAAGTGCTGCATTTCTGGGTTCTCGTGCACCTCCCAGGAGGGTGGCTTGGTATCCTAGGGTCTGAGTGGGGGGTTTAATTGGGGCCTCCTGACCTGGAGCCCAGAGAGACCCCTGCTCTGCAGGCGCCATCTCCGTTCAGCGGGTCCAGGTAGCCTGAGCCTGGCAGTGGCTGCAGGCCCCCAGGGCCTGGCTCCTGGCTTCTGTCCAGAGAAAACAGTCCCAAAGTCAAACCAGATGGGCCCTCTTCCTGCTGGCACACGGCTCTCCTCAGGTGGGGAGAGGGAGAGCGGCGGGCATCCCTGAGGGAACCAGATCCCATCTGCTGGACCACCCTTGGGCAGGAAGGCTGTCCCTCACCTGCAGCTGGGGTGAGAAGATGTGGGTGCCTTTTAATCCCAGCCCCAAGCCAGGACTGGGCAACAGAGATTGAGGTCCCTCTGGGTGTGCTGGGGTAGAATCTGCTCTTGCTTTGCTTCCTGGCCTCTGGCCATGCAGCCATTCACTCATTCACTAAGTAAGTGATGGTGGACAGCCCGCTACCGGCCGGGCCTTTGGGCAGCAACAGCCCCTTTCTGTCCTGGACATGGGCTCTCTGACCCTAGGTCAGGCTCTCCCAGGGACACTTCCGCTGTGCTGTAATGCTGTGTCCAACCCCAGGGTGAGCTCTCTGAAGCTGGGGGTGACCACTGTGGCTTGGGACACAGACAAATGGCTGACTGCAGGGCTTGGGTCTGGTGGATGAGCCATGGGAGGTGTTAGGGGTCATGGTGGCCGTGACAGCAACCCAAGGAGCAGCAGAGCCCACCGGCCTCTGGGCAGGACGGGCCCAGTCTCTCATGGAGCTCACGGTCTCCCTGAGCATGAAGTGAAGGGACCTCTGTGGCTGTCGGGGCAGGTGGGGGACAAGAACTTGGAGAACTCAAGACAGCTGCCCAGGGTCACAGAGCAAATATGGTGGGAGTAGTAACCGGACTCTGGCTTGACAGCAGCTGCTCAGTCAGGCAAAGTTAAAGGGACCCACACTGTCGCCTGGGGCGCTGGAGCCTGGGCCCCCTCTTGTCTTCCTCTCGCTCCTCTGGAAGGACTCAGGATTCTCAGCCCACTGTAGGCAGGGCCTCCTACAGTCCCTGGAGTGGGCAGGAAGCACCAGGCCTAACAATGGGGACAGACACATGCAGGGGCCTGGAGCCTGGGCAGGTCCTCCTCCTGGGGCTGCCATAACAAACAACAGATAATTACAATCCAGGGGGCTTAAGGCAGCAGAAAGGTTTTCTCCCACAGTTCGAAAGCCAGAAGTCCAGAATCAAGGCATTGCAGGGTGGGTTTCTTCTGAGGCTCTGAGACAGACATTGTCCCCTCCTCTTCCTGGCCTCAGGGGCTGCAGGCCACACCTGGGCTCCTTGGCTTCCAGCTGACCCCCCGACCCTGCGTGAGTGTCCACGTGGACTCGCTCTGTGTCAATGCGTGTCAGACGTCCTTCCGCTTTCCTTTGCAAGGATGTCAGGTACTGGATTTAGGGGCCTCCCTAAATCCAGGATGATCGCCTCTTGAGATCCTTAATCAGGTCTGCAGAGACCCTGTTTCCCAATAAGGTCACATTCACAGGTAATAGGATTAGAACTTGAACTTATCATTTTGGGGGGACACTAGGAGCCCTCTACATGGGGAAGGAGCTTCCTCTCCTCCCTGCTCTGTCCCCAGCTTTCCCTTCCATCCGTCCGACCGTCCGTCCGTCCGTCTGTGCCCTCTGTCTGCCCCCAGCTGCCTGCACTACTGACTCCTCCTTTGTTTCAGGGGTGGCGGCTGGAGGCCTCTGAGACAAGGGAGAAGGGGATCTGGGAGAGCATAGATGGACAGACGGATGGATGGATGGAAGGGAAGAAGGACACCCCGAAGAGAAGACGTTCAGGGGGTGGAGGGCGGGAGGTGGCCATCGACCCTTCCCCACCGGGTCAGTGAGCCGCTGGCCCTCCCCCACGCTCCCAGGCAGGGCAAGGAGAGCCAGAGGCGGCCCCACCAGCTCCCCAGCCACCTCCTCTCAGGACACCTGGCAAGGGAGCGGGACCCAGGCCAACACAAGGGGAAGGTCGGCCAGGGGCAGCCTGAGAGATTCAGGCTAGACAGCAGGGGGACTTCCTCAGTGGGAGGCGATGGAAATTACCTCTGAGAAGACCCTTGCACAGCCCCGTGTGGCACTGGCTCTGTCTGAACCCCCTGGGACACACTTTTCTCAGAAGTGGTTTCCTAAGGCCTGGCCACTTTGTCTCTCTGGACCGGCCGGGGGACAGTGACATTGAAATCAACATTAAACATGCCTGACGAACACCTCAACCCTGTGGTGGCTGATGTTATTGCCTAGGGTCAGGCTGCAGCACAGTGGTTAGATTTTAAAAGTGGGTGGGCCGAGAGGGCTGTGGCCTGCGGGTCTTGGGGTGCAGGAGGAATTAGCTAGGGGTCCTGGGGTCCCAGGTGACCCATAGATGTCTTTGTTTGGGCCAACAGTGATTTGAAAAATTAGAATCAGTTGCCAGCGTTTACTATTCAGGTGACTTTATGTAGAATGTCTGGCTTCCCTGCCACCCTGGGAGACTCTGGGTAGGTGGCAGCTGTCCCTTCTTGTATCCTCCTTTTGAGACCCCCAATGGCTCACACTAACAGTGAGGAGAGGGCCACCCCAGGAGAGGGAATAAAGGGAGGAAAAGCTAGAGGTACGAGGGGGAGGCTGCGTGGGTCCCCCGGGGTGGGGGGTGACATCCCGCCGTCTGTAGCCCACAGTCCTTCATGGTTAAGCAGGATAGTTGAGCCTCATTTTAGGTGAGCTTGATTGTAGGCAGTGGGGAGCCATTGAGTGTGGTTGAGCAGAGGAGTGACTTCCCAGAGATTACTCTGGGGCTGAGCAAGCAACTGGAGGCACCAGAGCAACTGGGGGCAACTCTGAAAAGTGTCCCACCCTCAGACCCCATGACTAAAATAGTGGCCTCAGAATCTGCCTTTTCAAGACGCACCCCCACCCATGATTCTGGTGATGAGGGACGGCTGCAAGCCTACTTTTAGGAATTTCCTCTGAGTGAAAGATCAGTGCTTTGGGGCCAGAGTGGAGAGGTGGGCTGGACTAGGGAGAGGCCGAGGGAGCGGGGACCATGGCCCTGGCTCTGCCAGTGACCTGGGGTCCCGGTGGGGGCTTGCCCCGGATCCCATGCACCTGGCCTCCTGGACCCTGGACGCAGGAGCGCTTTCTTGGGTGGGGCTGCTGGCCTTCCTGGCCTGGGCCAGAGCCCCATGTGCAGGTCCTGAGGGTGGAGAGGTCACCGGCCACGAGGTGGGGTGCCCAGAGGGAATCCAGGGGCAAAGCTTTACCGCAGACAGGGCAGCCCGGGCTCCTGGGTGGGGCCCTGGGAGGTGGGGAGAGCCTGCAGGGAGGGGCACACGCTCCCATCCCTTCCCTTCCTGGCCGGTGGCCGTGGGCACCACCTTCTTAGAGTTGTCACATCTTTGGCTGTAAACTAGGGACAGTCTGGGGCAGGCCTTAAAGGAAAGAGGGAATGTCAGGGAACGCTCCCTCCTACAGCAGGTGGAGACGGGTGCTTCCAAGACAGGTGGCCAGGGCCCCGCTGAGGCTCTCCGGGTGCATATTTCCCACCTGGGATGGCGTGCTCGGGACTCAGGCATCAGGGGACCTGACTCTGCCTCTAACTTCCTGTGTGACCTTGGACAAGTAGGCCAGCCTCTCTGAGCTGGCTGTTTGGGCTATAAAATGGGGAGAGTTCTGTTCTCTTTGGGGCGCTGTGACAGCTAACAAGCTCTTAGGCAGGGGGTACAGTGCTCAGGCAGGAACCTGTCCCCCAGGGGACTCCTGGAGCACAAAGTCTAGGAGCTACTGCAGAAACGGGTTGTGCAGGGTGCGTGCAGTGTGCGTGCGGGGGCTTCCCTGGGGACACACAGGTGCTTTCTCTGTTTGATGGGGATAATATCTGTACCCGGAAGCTGGGAGTCCCAGCCCTGCAAAGCACCCCATAAAAGAAAGTGATAATTTTTGTTTCAGTTTGCTCATCTGTAAAATGGGGAATCAAATACAAAAGAGAGGAAATAAAATAGGAATCATTCTTCCACCTCAAGAGGTTGTGTGAGCACTAATGGAATGAACCCAGGTCCTCTTTGAACATAGGCCTGACCCCCGGGAGTACTCAGGAATGCCGCTGCTGTTACTATTATTGTTATTGTTGTTGTTTGCTGAACCATGAGCAATAACTTCCAAAATCACAGGATAAGACTTGGAGCCAGCTTTCATTTAAAGTCACCATTACTAATTCACGCTCTGCTTGAGGGCCACCAAGACCCCTGGAACTTTTTCAGAACACCTGATATCCAGGGAGTCTCCCCCCTTTCTCCTAGACACCTACCTGGGGTGGGGTTCCTGATGAGCCTCCCCTGTACCCACTTCTGCCAACCTCACTGCATTCGGGAATCTGAATGCATGAAGAAATGTTTAAAATGACAGATTCCTGCAATTCTCTGCCCCTCAGCAAAGTTGAATTCCCGTGGGGAGGGAGTTTCTAGACCCAGGAGGAAGAGGAGGGATCAAGTGCTGGACATCCAGAGGGCCAGCGGTGGGCAGGCTCACTCTGCATCCCTGGGGACAGTCTGGGCTGCCCTGCACGGAGGTGGCAAGTCGGACCCCACACCTACGTCTTTTGGGCATCACACACAACGCTCGGTTGGAAGTATTCTTTCTGCAAAGAAACCAAGCTGATCAGCCATTGTCAAAGCTCTGTCTCAAGAGAAAAAAGGGGGGGAGGATGAAGGGTGCCTGGCCAACGGTCAGGCTTCAACCTGTCGCTTGAGCACGGAAGTGGTGAAACCAGTCCCACCGGCCACAGCGCATTTCCCTGGACTCGTTCAGGAGCTGAGGTGCTACTGGAGATGGCCAGGCTCCTGCCTGGGCTCCCTAAGACTCCTGGGTCCCCTGCAGGAGTCTCACAGGTGGCTTCTCCTGTGTCCCCTGCAGTTGGCATCCTCGCCACGCAGCGACAGGAGCCCGACCTCATCCTAGAAGATGTTGACTCTCACTGGGAGGATGCCCAGAAGGACTGCAGCTCCAGCCCCCAGGAGATGGAGGGGCTTCCAGCTCATGGGAAAGAGAACAAGGCCGTGGTGGAGATGCCCAGGTGGGAGCCCGAGAAGTCCCCGGAAAGAGCCAGTGTAGGCATGCGTGCGGAATCCCCAGGTCCAAGAGGGCACAGAGCCCAGCCCAGCCCGGCCCGCACCCCATAGGTCACACCCGGTTCTTTATTTTTGGGTACTGGAAGTTGAACCAAGGGGTGCTCTACCTCTGAGCCACAACCCCACACCTTTTCATTTTTTATTTGAGACAAGGTCTTGCTAAGTTGCTGAGGCTGACCTTGAAATTGCAATCCTCTTGCCTCAGTCCCCAAGTCACTGGGATTGCAGGCATAAACCATGTTCTGATGCCCATTCCAGACACAGTCTGGGCATGTCCATGCTCTCATCACCCCCTCTATTCTTTTTTGTGGGGGGTGGGGCTGAAAGGAAATCTAGCCCATGTAACTTGTCAGCACCTTGCTGCATTCATCCAATAACATACCTTGAGGGCCTTCCTCAGTCAGTAGGTGAAAATCATCCTTATCGATTTTACAGCTCTGTAGGGTTCCATCCTTGGGTATATATGATTCATTTAACCTGCCCACCACTGATGGACGTTTATGTTGTGTGTGGTCCGCTTTCTGTTACTCTAACAACATGCCTGAGATAATCGACTTAGGTAGAGAGAGAAGGTTTATGTGGGGGCTCGTGATTTCGGAGGTTTCTGTCTACGGTTGGTTGGTCCCCTCGTCATGGCAGGAGTGTGTAGTGGACCAAAAGCCTTCGCTTCATGGCAGAGAAGAAAGAGGGAGAAAGAGGAAGGGGCTGGCGGTCCCACTGTCCCCTTCAAAGGCATGTCCCCAGAGATCTAAAGACTTCTCACTAGGTCCTATCTTTTAAAGGTTCCACCTTCCAATTGGGCCACTCTGGGGACCAAGCCTTTAGCATGGGCCTTTGAGGGATCCAAGTGCAGCCAACACCTTTGTAGGTGTGCGCCTCTTTGACCCTCATGGGCACAGCCACAGGAGGGTTTCCAGAGGGAGCTCCTGGGCCACCTAACAGTGCCTGGTACACAGCAGGCACTAAATAAATGGACCAATTGAAGGGATGAATGCATGCATGGACTGTCCCCCGCCCCCAACGGTCCCATGTTGTCTCGACACCTTCTAAGGCTGCCCGAGAGTCTCCTCTGTTGTCCACTCGGGGTCGAATCCTCATCTGCATCTACACAGGTTTCAGCCAAAGGACTCAGTCCAAGTAAACGTTTACGGATGGGGCTGAGAAAGGAGCTCTGGGAGGGGCGGGGCTCGACAGCAGTGGGGACGGACAGAGGGGCGACGGCTGGGGGAGTGGACACTGGAGCAGGGGAGGAGGGGAAGTCGGTCATGGAGGGGATGCCCCGGGAATGAGCGGGGAGACAGGAGGGGCCCAGGACCAGATTAGAGGGCAGGGAGATGACCAAGAGCTGAGAAGCACCCACCCGTGAGGGGAGAGGGTGACGCCCTCCTCCCTGAGCTGTCCCTCTGACCTTGGCCGGGCTTTGCCATCAGAAGTGTCACTGTGCATCATTAGCAAAGTGACCTGGGGAGGTGGCCTCCCAGCTCCATGGCTGTGCGGTGGGGACTGCCAGCAGGTCCCTGCAGAGGGTGCACAGGACCAGCTGCGAGATGGGTGTGATGGGGCCTCACTGGAAGAGTGCCCTGCTGGTGGTGACTGGGGCTCTTGTTGCCACAGAGGGTCACTTTTAGTCCCGGTCAGGAAACTGTTAAACCAAAAGGCCAGCACAGGATTTCGGAGCTGGATGCTGGGGGGTCCTCAGCTCCTGGTCCACCTTGGCTCAGTTCGCACACCATCCTTCCAACTTTGGCCAGAAGCCACCCAAACTCTACTTGCTTACCTCCAATGACAGGGGGCTCATTACCTCTTCAAGGCGGTCTACTCATCCGCAGGCGTCTCTGACTTGTGAACTTCGTTTTCTACAAACACTGAGCCTGCTTCTCTAATTCTGTGTTCTGGGTCTCTGCCACCGTTACCCCACCCCCACAAGGTGAAGACCATGGTGCCATCGAGCTTGGTGGCTACAGACTGCTGTGTCCCCTGCCTTCAACCTGCCTCTAGGAAGAGTGCATAGCTCCGGACGGCTCCCCAGCTATACCTGTGTGCCTAACAGACAGGTCCCAAAGTCCCTTTAAGGCCACTGCTCTTGAGCCAAAATGACCCTTAAAGGCCAGTGATAAACTGCTTTCCACGTGCCCATGCTCTAGCGGTACACATGTTCTCAGAACACGGTACACACAGACGCCCAGGCCGGGCAGTCCACGCACCTACATGTACAGGAATGCACGCGCAGCCCACTCGCACGCACATGTGCCCAAATGCCCACCCAGAGTTTTAAACTCAGGGAACTTTTGAGCCCCAGACCCAGGGAGGGACCAGATGTTGTGGTGACAGAGCAAGTGATCCCAGACCAGAGCCAGAGCCAGCAGAGCGGGGCTGTTGCTGTCTGGGGAAGGATGCTCTTGGCCACTCTGCAGAGGCACAGGTTACTGATGACGCCAGGGCCCTGGTAACGCAGATGGTTACCTAGCAACCCCACCTCTGCAGGCAACAGCTCAGCGTTTCCTAGCAACTGTGGCCTTTTGGTCCCCACATGGCTTCCCTGGGGACGTGTCTGTAGAGTTCCCTGCACATCCCCTCGGTCTGATCAGAGGCAGGAGGACTGGTGGCTCAGCTGCCATTCGAGCCGCTCTGGCTTGGACGCTGGACTCCTGGCTGGGCCAGGGCTCTCCAGGCTCCACGCATGCTCCAACCCCGGGCTCGGGGTGAAGGGCACAGCCTCCAGCGGAACCGTGCCATGGGCACCCGTGCCGGCAAAGACCGAGAGACCCAAGTAGGTGGCTGCTTGTGCCCCAGGGCTCCCCTCCCTCCTTCCTTGGTGGCTGGGATTTCAGGGGAAGAGCATGCTGCAGGTGACATGAGGACCCTGTGTTGGGGACACAGGCTGCTGGGGTGGTTGAGGGAGGAGCAGAGTGGCAAGCCCTTGTGAGCTGGCTGCCGCTAGCTGGGACCTGAGAGGCCTTCTGAGAAGCCCACCTTGGCCAATCTCGGTTCCTTTGCTCGGAGGTCCCCAAGGCCTGAGAACTCTCTGGAAGTTATTAGGATGTTGCTTCTGGGCTGGGAAAGTGGGAACCTTGGCAGGTACCGGGCACACTATTGAATAGGGACCATATGACTTGGGTACATGGACCACCCCCAACAGCCCTTGGTGATATGGGCACAGACACCATTGGGCACATTGGTTCATGGTCATGGAGGCTGTCTGTTCAAAACATTTCCCAGTCCATGTGGGTGGACTTCATGACCCTGCCGACCACCACCTCCTTGGGATGAATGATAGCAATGACAAGAATAGTAATAGAAATAGCTGTCATTCGACTGGTAATATCTTTCCACGCTAGACCAAGCTGAGACAGTCAGAAGGGCAGATTCTATCGCTCATCCCAATTCACAGGTGGGGGAATGAGGCTCAGAGATGGTGCACTGCATGCCCAGGGCTGGCCCACCAGGAAGCCCAGAGCTGGTGTTCTGTCCCCAGTTGGCTCCAGAGTGAACACAGAGCCTTGTACTTTGGGCCAAGGAAAACCGCTTTCTGTGTTTAGAGGTGAAAGATCCAGAAAAATCCCAAGAACCGCTCTGACAGTCTCTTTTCCACGAGGTCCTCACGGGCCCTTCTGACCTCTTTCAAGTAAGTCAGGCTGCACAGGCCAGGCGAGTCCTGCCCCTTGGACAGATGAGCAGACAGAGGCAGCCCCAGGGCTTCCAGGTGACTCGCCCAAGGCCAGACAGAGATTTTCTGGCCTGATAGTGGAAAGAACAGGACCTCAGGATGCCTCTGGCTGGGACAGGGGTGGCCCGTATCCAGGGCCTTTCAGAGAAGGGTCCTGTATCTGTTTGGGTCGGTAGCTCACCAGCCGGGCAAGGCCATGGTTTGTGTAGTAGCCGTGGTGCCCACAGTACTCTCAGGGATCCGTGAGAACGTTTCTTGTTTTTCCTGTTTTCTGCAGGGCTGAGGCTCCAACCCAGCGCTTCCTGGGTGTCCGTTCTCCCTCTGAGCAATACAGCAGCCCTGAGAACGTTTTAATTTCTTTTAAAATCAGATTCCACCCCCACACAAGGGCCTTGAGATAGCAGAAAGATGGTGCAAGATAAAATATTAACATACTAATCTCATACGATCACAGTCATAAAACCACAGTTTTTAATAGAGTTTTTGGGGATAAGGGGCTGAAAGCTGATGTGGTCAGGACCTGTCGAAGCCATGACATGGCCTGCTCTTATGACTTGAATCTCTAGCAAAAAATCAGTTTGTGCCGGGCAAGGTGGGGAGCCTTACCCTGATAGTTGAGATCCTTGCAATGGAAATGTCTACACAGAGAAGGAAAATAAAGTGAGTTGGGTGTTTGTGCCATTCAAATCCTGGGTCTACTCCTTCATATCACATGGGGCCATATTGCTGCTCAGAGGTGGGCAGCAGAACTGAGTGGTAAGCACCTGGCTTTGGGGGCAGAGACACCTGTGTCTTTTCCAGGCTCCCCCCCACCTTACAGGCTGTGTGACCCTGGACCAGCCATCGAACCTCTCTGAGCCTCAATGCTCTGAACTGGAATAGTCTTAGCCACAGCCCTGGTCTCCCGGGATTGTTTGCATGAAGAGTTGGGAGACACTGTGTTCGGAGCACCTGGCACAGGGCCTGGCCCGTGGCCCACAGGGGCTGTTGTGGCACTGTGACCTTGGGCTGATTCCTGCTCCCAGGTGGCTGGATTCAAACCCACTCAGCCACAGTCCTGTCCCCACCTCCTCAGCCCCCTTGAGAGGGCTGAGATGAGGCCCCCTGGGTAGAGGAAGGTGAACCCAGGTTTTCTGGGTGGCGGACACCCCAGAGCAACTTAAATAAGCCTCTTGGTGACAGGGACCAAGGGCTGGGACAGGGCTATTCAGAAGCGCAACTATTTCTAACTACAAAAATCACATTAGCCCCTGATTCTAAGTCAGCCTGTAACCCAGAGGTCATACTTAGACTTCTAAGGGCCTGGTTTTGCCTGGAGAAAGGCTATTTTTAAAATATCTACATATCAATATTCAAATTAATCTGAATTAATTATTGGCATCTATATATCAGGAAACTCCACCTTCAAAATATATAGTTCAGGCTTCTCTTGAAAATGGCAAGATCCATTCCCAATAGCGTGGGGTCGCCGTCTGCAGATAGATATGGGTCTCCCACTTGCCACAGTTCTCCCTGCCCCACGCTGCCCTCTGACCCCGTCACTCATGTGTGCCTGCTACCTGGGTCAGTGACCACTGAGAGCTTTGACAGTGACAGTGTGGGACATCTCCTCTCTCCATCCTCTGTGCTTCTCTTGCCACATGCCGTCCTGGCTTCCTGTTCCTGGTTTTTAAGTCCTCATTCTTGAGCCCAGCTTGCAGGCCACCTGCTCCGGGAAGCCCTCCCACAGCAGAGGTGTGGCTTGTCCTGTGTCTCAGAGTGATGGTCAGCAGGACACTGCCCTGGGAACCTGATGAGGACAGGCCTGGTCTTGACCATTCTGTCCCCAACCCCTGGCCCAGAGCTTCGGCCCCAGCAGGGCTTGGGAACTGGTGAGCGCTCCTAACCCCATCCTCCCCGCCCCCAGCCCCAGTGTCCGGCTGGATAGCTCTTGGCTGGTGCAGTCCAGTGTGGATCCGAGCAGAGGAGGCGGGAAGCAGCCCCCAAAGGCCTCATTCCAGGTACGGAGAACCCTGAGGCCTGGGCAGGGTGCAGGGGAGAGAGTGGAGGGCCTCACTCAGGTGTCAGGAAGGACCTTGGCCATGGGTGGGGTTGGATGGAGCTGGGCTCAAATTCCCACCTGGTTCACCTTGCTATGCGGCCTCTGTGGCCACCTGCGTAAAACGTCTCCTGGGATTGTAGGAGGATCCCAAAGTGCTCGTACCCTCTGCAAGGTGCTGTCCGGGGTGGGGCTTCTGATGGGGTCTGCTTTGGTTGATTTGTGCCCATACGAACAGGTTGCCTGGGGGGGGGCTCCTCTCGGCACACGTGACAAGTCCCCGAGTCAGGGCCTGGGGCTTCCTGTGTACTGTGGACTCCTCAGGTTCTAGCCACCTGTCTGGATGCCCCAGGAGACGGGCCAGCAGGGCCTGCCTGCCTGGGCAGGGCAAGAGTAGAATGGGGGGCCGCGAGGACCCCTGAAGATGTCCTGAGCGGGCTGTTCAGACAGAGGCCGGGAGCGGGGTGGTCCCAGCACTGCCCTCACTGTATCTTTGCAGGGGCTGCAGGAGGAGGCGGTGGCCGCCAGCTCAGCAGGTAGGTGGTGGTGGAGGTGACTGTGTGGAATGTCGGGGTCCTTTCAGGCTGGGGGGGTCTCTCCGCCTGTCCCTCCACCTCCTTCCAAGTTGTTGCCCCACAGTCCCCCTTCAGCAAAGCCCATCCCGCGAGTCTTGGGCCACATTGTCATGGCCAGATGACGTCTTTCAAAGGTCCTAGGGGAGTGGCAGGGAGGATCAGGGCTCCAGGCCTGGCTACCGAGAAGCCCTAGCCTCCACCCTCCGCCCCTGCCACTGCCTCTCAGGGGAGTGTAGCTGTGGGTCCCACCCAGCCAGGGTTCAGCTCAGACACCGCATAATGTAAGTGAGGGACAGTGGGGCCGGATGGAGCCTGCAAATGATGATCCCAGACCTGGGTCTCAGGGCTTGTCCCGACTGCTGAGTTCGTAGGGTGGGGCCGGCACCTGTGCTTTGCTTGTATTTTACACCCACCCCCACTCCTGAGAGCTTCAAGAATGGTGGGTTGAGAGTCCAGGGGGCGGAGCAGCAGCCAGGCCATCTCACCCAGACAGACAGACAGACAGACGTGGAGCCCCGGCCCACGCGCCTCCCGTTCCTCCAGCTACCTGCACTGCAGCCGTCCAGCGATGCAGACAGACCCCTGGACAGATGATACCATGAGGCTGCCCCAAGGTCAAGGCCCAAACCTGCCCCTCTCGCCTCTCCCCCTTCCTGGCTGTGTGATCCAAAGCCAGTTCTGCGACCTCTCACAGTCCTGGTTCCTAAATCCAGAAAAATGGAGCAATCATAGTTCCCACCTCCAAGGCTGTTGGGCAGAACAGGGGACGTGATGGATCGAAGGTGCCCAGCATCACGGCTGGTGCCAAGGGAAGAGTCAGAAGTGGAGAGGACAATTGATGCTTGTGTCCCAGCCACCAGCCATGGAGATGATTTTGGGCCGGGGTCCTGACCCTGGGTGTCCCCAGCTTGCCCCTCAGCTGGCCTTTACAAAGTGTTCTCTGTGAACTTTCATGTTCATCTGTGGGAGATCCACCAAGTCCAGGCCTTATGCTGGGCCTCCAATGAGTCAGGACCAACCGGCACAGCGGGGCGGGTTCTGCCCCTGCTCCGCGTGCTGGAGCCACACTCGGGAAGCGCTGAGGCACGGCCATTTGTCCGTTTATACTCAAAAGTTTGCATGCAGGTCCAGCAGCTGTGTGTCACCTGGGAGCTGCTGAGGCATGCAGAGCCCCAGGAACCGCCCAGACCAGCCAAGTCAGAAATTGACCGTGTAACAAGGTCCTCTGGCGATGGCTCTGCGTGTTAGCGTTTGAAAGGGGAATGGCCTTGAGCCCTGGTTCTCAGACTTGACTGCACATTTGAATCCTGGGGAGAGTTTAAAACTCCCAGTGCCAGGCCTCATCTTGACCATCAAGTCAGGTCCTGGGGATGACAGGCCCCGGCTGATCCCACTATGCAGCTCGGTTTGGGCCCCAGGAAAGGGGACTGCCCCTGGTTGGAAGTGACACTGATCTGCCTCCAGGGTTTCTTTGGCCTGGGCGATTCTGGGCTGAGGATATTTTCCATCCAGGACTCGGTGGTTCTAAGCGCCCGAGCCTGTGAGTCCTGCGTCGCGGGATTCTGACTTTCCTTGGGTCTGAGATGGGTCATGCTGCTGCAGGTGGTCAGTGGAGAGCGTGAAAAGTCAGGAGGTGCTGGGGCTGCTGGGTGGACCGGCCACATGCCTGGATGACCCTTTCGATGTTGAACTTTAGGGATAAGAGTGAGGGGTGCTTCAGACCGGGGACAGAACTGCTGCAAATGCAGATGGGCACCATGTTGCTCCATGTCGGTGCTGAGAGAGGAGCCCCACTTACTGCCTCCCTGTTCTGCTCCCCATTGCAGTCCCCAGGGTCACACCTCTGCCCGTGACCTTCAGACTCCAGCACCATGGCCAAGCCAGGCCAGGACATGGAGCTGAATCGCCTGGTCCAGGAGCAGCCACCTGACCAGGGGGCCCCCAGGCTTGCACCCCCAAACCTGGCAGAGCACCTTCCCAATGTGCCCAGCTACCGCCTGCCCATCACCCGCATCCCTGTCCTCGTCACCCGGAGAACGGCCCTGTCCAATTCCAGCTTCGCCAAGGAGACCAGGAGCTCCATTCGTCGCCTAGGTAGCGCGAGCTCGCCACCCAGCGCGCTTCAGCCTGCAGCGGGTGCGGCGGGTGCGGCGGGTGCATGGCTTGGGCTCTCTTCCTTGGGCGCTGTGGCCAGGGTGTGGGACCACGCATTGTGCTCAGGGAAAGCCACTTTCTCTTCCTCTGCTAAACCAGGCCTTCCTCCTGCTTTGTGGTGGCAACATGAAAGGGTTTCTTTCCTCTCCTTCTCCCCATGCCTAAATTCTGCATTTAGCAATTATTTCTTTGGGTTACACGTTGCTTTCTGCAGACAATTAGGTTTTTAAAAAATATAGAGAGAGGTAGTCATTTGCACTCTAGTCTAAACAATGCCCTTTCTCGGATCTCTGGGCCATGAAGCTAGGCCAAGGAGCCAGTCCTTTTGGGGGTGACGGCATTAAAAGAAGAAAACAAATAGAAGAGTAAATTCAGACCCACTGCAGATAGAATCTACTGATGGTGAAGTTTGCTGGCTGGGCTTTCTGAGGACTATTAATATCTGCTCAGCAAATTCCACTTCAGGAAAGAAGGAGCTGCCAGGTGCAGGCCGGCCGGCCAGGAGGAGGCCATCCTGAGGGGCCAGCGCAGAGGGAGGGCCTGTCTGGATCCCTTTAATTGTCACAAGGTCCTCATAGTGGCTTCCAGGCTACGGCTGCTCACTGGCTGTTGAAAGTACTCAGGGACATACTGGCACCTCTGGACTGATCCCTGTCACTTTCTGCCTTAGCTGAAGCCAGACCTGCCGACTCTCCTCTTGACGTTTGCTATTTTGGGTTGACACCGTGCAAAGCTGCCTCGGAGATCAGGCCAGGCGGTGGGTCTCACTGAGCCCTTCACGAGGACACTGACTCCTCTCTCCCCTTCCTGGCTCTCGATGGGCTCAGAGTTGGGGTGAGGTGGCACGCTGATCATCCCCACCGTGGGTCCGTGCCCTGGTGGGCAGACCCTGACTCTCCCACTCCAGGGGTCCCCCAACTCCCTCTCCCCTGGATCGCCCCGTACCTCTTGTCCTATTCTGGGCCAGCTCTCCTTTTATATGCGTCTTATTTTCTTTAATTGGATTCTCTTCTCAATTTAATTCATTTTACTGAAACTTTGTGTTACTTTTCAAATGGAAAACCAGCACTGCTTGCCATTAAGAGAAATAACCCCAAACACCCGGAAAACAAATCAGTGCTGAGAGCTATGGATGGGGTGGCGGCAGGCTGGGGGCCGTGCTGTGCCCTTAGCTGAAAGGGGCCTCGGCTGTGTCATAGGGGCGTTAGTGAAGGCCACCGAAGCGCTAACCTGACTTCCCCTCTGTGGATTCAGGATCTAGAGGGAGTGGATCGGGAGTCATGTTCCCATTCTGTGTTCTCCTTTGCCTGATCTGTGCATTGGAAATCATCCTCTGTCCTCCTGGGTCCCTGGGAATCCCCATGGAAATGTCCCCAGTGACAGCGGGTGGATCTGACAAAGGTACAAGACGTGTTGACTTTAGATGCGACAGATAAGGAAATGAGAAGATAGAGCAAGACGCACGGTTTCAGTGAGGCCACTGGTGCCTTCCGAGCTGGGTTCGAATCCTGCTCTTTGTGCCTTGGTCTCTTATGCACAAAGTGGGGACCAGGATAACAACTACCTTACAGCACAGATGGAAGGGCTGGGAACGTCCACAGAGCTGGGTGTAGTAGCCCGTGTGCCTGGAGTCCCAGCTGCTCAGGAGGCTGAGGCAGGAGGATCGATTGAGCCCAGGAGTTCAAGGTCAGCCTGGCCAACATAGTGAAACCCCCATGTCAAAACAACAATGAAAAAAGTTGATATATATAAAATACTTAGAATTTGGCAAAAGAAATATTGGCCGGCATATAGGAAGTACTTAACAGTAAATATTATTCTCTAACCAATTTAGTAATGTAATATTTTTTCTTTATATTTCTTTAAAAAACTTTTTTTAGTTGTAGATGGGCACAATACCTTTATTTGATTTATTTTATTTTTTTTATGTGGTGCTGAGGATCGAATAACCCAGGGCCTCACACGTGCTAGGCAAGTGCTCTACCACAGCCCCAGCCCCAGCCCTATATTTCTAATAATTCTTAGTCTATAAATGGACATGATATAAACCGATGCATTGCTATTTTGAGCTTCTGCTCTACTGAGCTGGTAGGAAATGAAACCTCAGTTGTAGGAGTTTTCTCCCCACCACCCCAGGGGCATCAAGGATGCAGGGTCCCACCCAGGACAAGGCAGGGTGGGCATCAGCCCCTCCAGCTCTGTGGAGCCCCCTTGCTATGGACGCTGAACTTGTGGGCTGCCTGCTGCCCTCCCAGGTCCCTAAGCATGTTCCAGAGGTTTCATGATTGGCGGTCCCCTGTCCCCTCTCCTCCTCCCCCAGCTCACACTTCCAGGCCACCGAGCAATTGGGCGAGGGCCTCCCACTCCTGATCTCCTCCCGCCCAGAGGCTGGGGAATCTCCTGTTGGTTGGTAAAGTGTCTCCTTTACATTTAAGCAACGTCTCCATTCACGTTCATCCTCTTCCTCCGAGAGATTAGGACTCGTTCTTTAAAAAATGCCAAGAGATCTTGATGCCTCCTTAGATTCCTCCATGAGACTAAGTATAAGCAACTCCACAAAGTGCCAGCCTTCCCCACGATGGCCATTATCACACCCAGGGCCGGGTGACACTCAGTGGTGATGCCCTGGCTCCCAAACCCACCTCCCCAAATCTTAGATCTAATTATTTCAATAGCTCCCCTCCCCTCCCTTGCTGGGGCCCAGGCCTGGGCCTAGCTGCTACTGCGGGTCCCCCCAGGTGTTGGCGGAGGGGGCGAGGGGAGCAGGGACACTGCTCAGACCCTGGCATCCTCTGAGCTTGGGCTTGGGCAGAGCTGTCCCCACAGTCCCTGAGGTGGGTGATGGAGCCAGAGGCAGGAGCACACCTAGTGTCCCCAGGGAGGACCTGGTGACACACTTCTCAGTGGTCTGGAGATCGGGTTCTGGTGGCTCCTGGCTTGTATGAAAATAGGAAATGACAGAGCAGGTGCCCAGATGGGGGATGGCACCCACTAGAAAGACAGTCTGTGGACGGACACCTCTGAAGGTCTGTGTCCCCTGGCTTTCCCCATAGGCCTGAATGGCATTGTCACCCGACCTTGAGAGAGAAACTGAGGCTCAGAGAAGGGAAGCGGCGGACCAGCAGTGCTAGGACAGGCCTGGGACTTCCCCTGAGGGCCCTCTCTGAACCCTGTCACACACCGCCCCCCCCCCCACCGTGAATGCTCCCTCTGGGCTCAGGGGAGCCAGTCAGGTCTTGGAGGGGTTTCTATGGCATGTGGCTTCTTTCGTGGCTCCTGGTTGGTGGCGGGCCTGGCTGTGGTGCATCTCAGGCATGGCGTCCCGCACCCCTGCATGGGGCAGGTGAGGCTGCCAGGCTCCCTCCAGACATGGCTCCGCGGCTTCCTTCAGGCACGTGGCCAGGCCCCCCGCCACCCCGGCTTCTCTCCCTGACTCCCTTCCTTTCTCCCTTTCCCCAAGTGCCTGCCACGAAGGAGCACCCGGAGGTGCAGGTGGAAGACACCGAGGCGGACAGCCGCCCCCTCATCGTGGAGGAGACGCCACCGGAGCAGCTGCCACCTTCGCCTGCCAAATCCGACACCCTCACGGTCCCCGGCTCGGCCCCAGGGGCCCACAGGTTACCTTTTATGCTTCTCTGAGCACGGCCCCCTGTCCATGTGGCAGATGAGGAGACTGAGGCCAGACAGGGGACACGTCACACTGAGTTGGCCTCAGCGCTGGGACCATGACACCCTCTCCTGGTTCTCCTAATTCCTGGCTCAGGGCTTTTTATAGGGGCTCTCACGGGAGGCCCTGCCCCAAATGCCCTCAGCCAGGAGAGGAGGGCAGTAGTATAATAAATAATCACAACATACGATGAATGTGACAAACTCATTTACACTTCCTTTTTATTTTATTTTTTGAAAGGATGTGGTTCAGTTGGACTTACATATGATTATAAACTACCAGTCCTTTTCTCCCCCTCTTCAACAAAAGTTTAAATGTGGAATACCGTTTACTGTACGCACATCACGATACAGCGGCTCTGTAGAATTTTCCATCTCACACAACCGAACCCTATACATTGAGTGACACTTGCTCGTTCCTCCCCCACCCCAGCTGGGAAGGGTCAGCCTCCTGTCTATGAGCTCGAGGACTTCAGTAGGCACCTGGGGTCAGTGGAGTTGGTAGTATTTGTTCTTCTGCGACTGTTCCGTGCACTGGGCCTGGAGCCGTGTCTTGTGGTGACTGTATTGTAGCACAAGAGGGCTGGGGCGGTGGCTCAGCCGGAGAGTGCTTGCCTGATCCTCAGCACCACATAAAAATAAATAAATAAAGATATCGGGTATCGTAGCACACGATAGTCTCCCTCTCAAGACTGAATGCTGACCTGCCGTGTGTGTGTGTGTGTGTGTGTGTGTGTGTACTACGCTCTGTTCACCCACGGTGGACATTTAGCTTATTTCCACCTCTTGGCTATTGTGAAAGCAGGAGTGCTGGCCCAGGAGGCTGGCAAGACACCATTTGAGTGCCACATGATGTCGCATCTGTAGGTGAGGGCCTTGGCCCCGCCCCTAGTGTCCTGCCCAGCCTGTGACTGGCCCTTGGTGGGAACCTTGGCTGACCAAAGGCAGAGCCAGAAGGAGGCTCCCCCAGTTCGACAGCTAGAGAGAGGGTGGTGGGGACCGGACCAGAGATTCCAGTTTCTCTCAGGGTGGCAGGGTACTAGCTGTGGGTCCTCATCTGGTGAGTTCCCCTGGTGGATTCCATTTCTGATTGAGCCCCACAGAACTGAGCACCCTGCTAGAGGGTCATCAAGGGTGTTCCTCGGAAGTCCAGGTCCAAGGGCTTCTTTTCTAGAACTTGGTCACACCATTTTGCTTCTACGGTGTCACAGCTAAGGGCCGTAGTCTGTGTTTGGTAAGTTGCTGCTACAACTGAGCTCAGCAGGCTGCTCACACCTTCACGGTGGGGTGGGCCCAGCTGCATGTGTGGACACGCTGTACCCATTTTTGGCCCAGCACACTCGGGTTCAAGGGCTGAGTGCTCAGATTTGTGTCACCCGTTGTTCTGACACTCGTCTTGATGGGATAACACAGGCTTGCTGTGCTGATGCTCATATCCATGTCCCTAGACGCTTGGTTTCACACACTGACACCGTCTCCATGTGCTGACACTGTATTCTGTGTTTCATAGGATAATACAAGTCCTTAAGAAAGACCCTTCTTCTCCACCAGCACTTAAGTCGTTAACCCATAAAACGTCGCTCCTAGTGGTGGACACTGGCCTGGGCAGGTCCTCCAGAATTATCTTATGCTTCGACATCAACTCATTCTACTTTATGCAGAGCAGGACTTTTTCTCTAATTCTGGGGATGGCTTCCTTGCCGATGTTAAGAAATTTCTCTCCATCGCTTTTCTTCTCTTCCCAGGTTTTGGGGTAACCCAGCCAACCAAATCATTCTCACTGTTGAGACAAAGAGTGGGAAAATCCAGGGAATTCACCCCTAAAATGCCAACATCAAATAGTATCAAAGGCACCTCTCCTACCACGTCAGATCACCCAGGCTCCAACCTGGGGACCCCAGGCCAGGGGCAGGCTGGGCAGGAACCTTCTCGTCCCTGAGATCCAGGTGGTTTTCTGGCTTAGACGCCATCAACCAAGATGCAAAAAGCCCCCAAATGCAGCATTCTATGGCAGAGTTTAATTTTCTGAATGACAGGGGACCCCTGGATAATTTAGTCTTCATTTATTCAGATAGGGAACCTATAGTCCAGGAGCGGATGGGATTTGCCCAAGGTCACAGCATGAAAGGGTGGGCACAGAGGAGGAGAGACTTCGAACTGGAGTCAGGAGGGGAAGGACGTCCCAGTTGAGACCTGGCTGAGTGTCAAGTACCCCATGTAGTCGGGGAGATTTAGCCCTATTTTACAGAAAAGGGAAATGGAAAAAGCTCAGAGAGTTTAAGTCCTTTGCCAAGGTCACACCCTGGCCTGAGGCAGGGCTGGGTGCAATTCAAGTTTGCCTGATACCAAGTCAGAGAGCAGGTGGGAAGACGGAGGTCAGAGGTCGGAGGTCCGAGGCAGGCAGTGTCCCTCTCTTTGCTTTTGTGCCTCCCTCCAGCGAAATGAGGACCCTTTGGCAGAACCACCCCTCCCCCATCCTCTACCCAAGAACCGGCTCCAGATGGTCCTCAGGGTCAAAGTCATTTCTCTGCCCTCCCTAAAGGCGCCTTGTGTGTCTGTATCCTTTCAGGAAGAAACTGCCCTCTCACGATGATGATGAGGCCGAAGAACTCAAGGCGCTGTCACCAGCCGAGTCCCCAGTGGTGGCCTGGTCAGACCCCACCACCCCACAGGAAGCCGAGTGAGTGGGGCCACTCTCAGGTCTCCTGGTGCTGGGGGGCTGGGTGGGGTGGGCCGATGAGGAAGTGGAGGGGTGTGCGTGTTTTTAGAGGACGGCTGCTAGGGAGACTGTATTTCTTCCAGGGGCTTCTGAGCAGTCCGTCGGCTGGTCTCCTGCGCTGGCTGCTCCTGGCTGGCCCAGGAGTTCTGCCAACTCCGCAGGATAGACCGCAACTCTGGGTCCAGCTCTGGGAACAGCCAGCAGTGCTCAGAGACAGGGGGTGGTGACTGACCCAAAAGGGTCAGCAAGAACAGTGGGGACACAGGATCTCCACTGGGTCCCATCTTGGGAAGCTTGTCAAAAACTACAGACCCCCGGGCCCATCCAGTTCTACTGGATCAAAGCCTCAGACCACAGCCCTGGGGAGGTTGCACCCGCTCCCTGGCGATCCTGCTGCCCCTTGTATGCAAAACAGGGTTAGAAACCACAGTGACTCCGGCCGTGGGCCTGGGGTCTCTGGCATCTAATTATCCCAAGGCTGGGTCAATGGGGGGGGGTGTTTCTGAAGGATTTGAGGGACCCTGGTGCATGTTGGGTACCCCAGCCATGGGCATTTGGCCCCATTCCCTGCCATGAGCCTCTTGAGACAGGAGATGCCAGGCTTGCCTTCCTCCTTCTGGTCTTTTTTGTTTTTACATTCATAATTTTATGCAATTTGTGCTTAACAGAGTTACAGGAAATTCATAAAAAATGAAGAAGCAGGAAAAACCCTAAACCTCACCCCTAGGCCAGTTGCCAATTTTAGCACACATTTAATACAGTAGGGTAGGTTAGGATTAGGACCGAGCCTCAGATAATATGGCATAAGTCAAGTATGATAATAAAAATTACCCTTAGCTGGGAACAGTGGCTACTTGGGAGGCTGGAGCAGGAGACTGCAAGTTTGAGACCAGTCTCAGTGGGTTAGCAAGACCCTGTCTCTCGGGGCTGGGGATGTGGCTCAAGGGGTAATGTGCTCGCCTGGCATGCGTGAGGCTCTGGGTTCGATCCTCAGCACCCCATAAAAAAATAAAGATATTGTGTCCACCTAAAACTAAAAAATAAAATATTAAAAAAAAAAGACCCTGTCTCTCAAAATAAAAATAGGGACTGGGGATGTAGCTCAGTGGTAGAGCATTTGCCTAGCATGCAAAAAGGCCTAGGTTCAATCCCCAGCACTGCACATACATTCAAAAATTATCTTTGAAATCTTATGAGGAGGTCAACATAGACACCCATGTATTAGTTAGGCTTAGTCGCTGTAACAAATATCCCTAAAAGTTCAATGACTGAAGGGACAAGAAGATATCTCATATGTCATAGTTATGGCACAAGTTGAATGTTTCTGGTCAGTGGAAGGCTCTGCTCCACAGAATCATTTAGGTACCCAGGTTATAGTGGCTCTGCCACTTTTTCCATGTGGCTTCCAAGATCCCACTCGTCATCATCAGAAAGGGACAACTGTAGGCCTTTCTTCAGCAAGGAGCTCTGGAGTCGCATGTCACATATCTACTCATGTTCCAATGGTGACAGCTTCCCACACATACCTGGAAGTGAAGTCCCAAGATGGGTGGCTCTATTCCAGCCACTACTCACCACAGGGGAGAGCAGATGCCAAGAAGCAGCTCCCGTGTCTGCCGTACCTGCATGCCACCTCTCATCAGGCCCATTCCTTGGTTCAGCCCAAGAGAAGTAGTTGACTTGAGTTTCTGTACCTTGACACATATATACATATCACATCTGCAAATCCTACTGGTACAGTCCGCTCAGCAAGCTGATCACAGTGTGGACACTCAGAGGGGAGCCCGCTCATGTGACCTGTGCCAGCTCACGCAGGGCAGATGCCCCATGCTGTTGGAAAGTGGGCAGCCTTCATCCTCTCTCTCTACCACTCTCTTTCACTGTCAGTGCATGAACTCTAAGTCCTGTAAGTTAAAGAGGGCTAACACATGTCTCCAGTGCCTTTTCCACTTATGTCCTATGTCCCCAAACATAGCTCCTGCTCCCCTCTCTGTTCTACCGCAGGCACAAATCTCATGGGAACCTTGAGCTGGGTCTAAATCCCTGATTCTGCTGAACTCTGGGCTGACTTCCAAGAGTTTCTCCCCAAACTACAAATGGAATGAAAGTTTATTTTAGGAACTGTGCCTGCATCAGAGGCACCAGGGTACATTCTCTGACCCTGGGGCCAGCGCACCTGCACATGATCCCTGCTGCATTTCCTCCTGGGAGAAAGTGGACGGGGTCGAATTTCTAGTGTTGGGGAAAGGGGGCAGGATGTGCCTCCTCCTGGTCTGACGGAAGGGGAGCCCCAGACGCTGTCCAGCTCTGGCTGGACACTGGGGTCCTCTCCTGCTCAGCCTGTGTACTGTTCCCACAGTGGCCAGGACCGTGCAGCCTCCACCGCCAGCCAGAACAGCGCCATCATCAACGACCGGCTGCAGGAGCTGGTGAAGCTCTTCAAGGAGCGGACGGAGAAGGTGAAGGAGAAGCTCATCGACCCCGATGTCACCTCCGACGAGGAGAGCCCCAAGCCCTGTGAGTGGGGGCTGCAGGTGGTCCACCTGGCCAGAGAAGGATGGGGTCCCCAAAGTCCCTGCCAACTAAGGTGAGGGTGGCCCAGGGCGAGTCTGGAGTGCACAGGAGAAGCCCAGATCCCTGTGCTGTGGACTTGGGGCCCTGTGAATACGGGTTCTCTATCTGGGAGGGGACAAAGATCAAGGTTATGAGCAACAGCCTTGCTCACGAGTGTAACTGCGGACCCTCTGCCCCCTTCCCGTTGGCAGGTGGGGTCCTGCGTGGGGCTGTCTCGTGCCACACTCAGAGAGTGTCCCAGATGGTCTTATTGTTCAGATTCATCAGAGCCTCGAAAGTTCTTAAGGGGCCACCTGAACATTTTCCTTTCTTTCAAGGATTTAGGGGGAAATAAGAACCATGCTTTCTTGTCAGGAAGGTTTTCTAGATCTTTCCAGAGAAGGGCTTTGGAACTCAAGGTGCCCACCATGGATTCACCAGACCCTGACTTCATAGTCCTAAAGCTAGAAACACGGCCACATTGAGCCTGTAAGCAACAAGCCCTCGTCACCCAGAGCAGCAGGTAGCTGCCAGGCAGGAGGCCAGGTCCCAGTCAGTGTCCCTGGCAGGGACAGAGGGGCCAGGATTCCCACTCTGAGAAGCCTGAGCAACATCTCCTGATTTCTCTGGACCCTTTCGCACTCCGACCCGACAGTGAGAGCCCTGGGTACAAACCCCTGCCCATCAGAGGGCAGCCAGGGGTCCAAACACAGGCGCGCAAGGCTGAGCTGAAATGGTCAACGTGCCCAGGAGGACCTCACAGGGGACAGCTCCTTTGAAGCAGTTCCATGCTGTAGTGGATAAGAGTCTCGGGGGGCAGCCTGGCTGCTGCTGCAGAGGGAGCCCAGGGGGGCGCTTCTGGGGAGCCCCCTGGATTCCACACACAGAGCTTGCAGCAGGCAGTGGGGTGGACCCTCAGTTCTGGTTCCAGGGTCTGCGGTTGGGACCCTTCTCAGGGCTGGACAGGTGGTCACCCATGTCATCCCTCAGCCCCAGCCAAGAAAGCCCCAGAGCCAGCCCCAGCCTCGAAGCCCCCGGAAGTGGAGCAGGTGGAAGAGGAGCACTATTGTGACATGCTCTGCTGCAAGTTCAGACGGCGCCCCTGGAAGAAGTGCAAGTTCCCCCAGAGCATCGATCCGCTGACCAGTGAGTTGCCACCATCCAGTGGGAGAGGGCGGGAGAGGGAGAGGCTGGAGAGAGTCCGGTGAGGTGAGAGGCAGGTGGGGGGCCACGTCGTCCCAGGTTTGTGACCCATTTTCCAAATGATTCCACACTTCCTCACCTGGTTCTTAAACAACAACAAAAGTCGCTGGAATAGGAACACAAGGTCACACCCATTTTAGAGATGGAGAAACTAAGGCACAGAGAAACCATCCAGCCTAAATACACAGTGAGTTAGTACAGGCCCAGGACTCCTGGCTCTTGGCCGAGTCTTTCTGCTGTGGCTGCACTGAGACGGGGAAGGGTTCTTCCACATTGAAGGTGACTCCTCTGTCATCCCTTTAAGCGCATTCCATAGTCCTCGGGAGCGATGCCACTGCCTATGTGCACAGCACTTTACAGTTTACAAAGGCCCTCCCTCCCCCTCTTATCTGACATTCTCCTGTGACTTTGAGATGAGCAGGGCAAGTGCCAGAGAGTGACTTTCTCAAGGTCACAAAGGAAATTTTTTAGGGGGCAAGACTCCAATCCTGGTGTCCCCTGGGCTTCTAAGATGACTAGGAGACCTACACTGTCCATCCATCCATCCACCCCCCTGTCTGTCCCTCCATCCGTCCAACCTCCGTGCACGACTTATTAAGGCAGGAATTACCAGTTAGAAAATTTTTCAAAAAGAATGAAAGCCAAATGCTTTTCTAGTTAGGTGTCTACTATCTAATAATGTCCCTGTAACCCCTCCTCAGTGTCCCTTCATTAGGGCCTGGGGGTGATCTGTCCTTAAAGCACAGGAAGTTTTACCCATGCACAGTGACAGGAGCACCAGGTGCAGGCCCCTGGGAAGCTGGAAGCCCACCTGGCCCCACGGAGGAGGGTCCTGGGTTCCAGCTGGGTCTAGCTGCCCGCCTCCCTCCCTGCAGACCTGATGTACATCCTGTGGCTCTTCTTCGTGGTGCTGGCCTGGAACTGGAACTGCTGGCTGATCCCCGTGCGCTGGGCCTTCCCCTACCAGACGCCGGGCAACGTCCACCTCTGGCTGCTGATGGACTACCTGTGCGACCTCATCTACCTCCTGGACATCGTCGTGTTCCAGATCCGCCTGCAGTTCGTCCGAGGGGGTGACATCATCGTGAGTCACAGGCCGTGGGAGAGGGGGATGGGGGCTGAGTCCCCCAGTCAGAGCCTTCAGGGGACTGACCCCTGATGCTGCGGTAGACGATAAAATAAGGGAATAAGATAAGCTCAGGTGCAGCTGCTTGTGTGTGTTCAACAACACAGTCGCTGACTTTGCACACTTGGGTAGGTTCAGAGGACGCACATCCGATATTGTTCATGGGCAAAGTAGATCCTGGACCACCCACTGGAATTAAGGATGGAGTAGTAGCCCAGGGAATGGCCTTTAGGTCAGGCACACTGTTCAAATCCTAGCTGAATGGCCTGAGCCTCAGTTTCCTTATCTGTTAAATGGGGTTGGTAATGGTTCCCACCTGGTGGCATTACTGTGCAGATTGATTGAGAGGATGCAGGGTGCTCAGCTTGATAACTGCTGGAAACCAGCATTGGGGCGGTGGCTCCTGGGACTCCTGCAGAGAGCATTCTGGTGCTCTGCCACTTGGACCAGTTTGAGACCCTGTTCTAAGCCACCTCCTGCTTGGAGGAAACCAAGTCCCTGATTGTGAGTTACCAAAACCAAGTGTCAGCTGGCATGGTGGTGCACTCCTGTAAGCCCAGCAACACAGGAGGCTGAGGCAGGAGGATTGCAAGTTCAGAGACAGCCTCGGCAACTTAGCAAGACCCTGTCTCAACATTAAAAAAAATAAATAAATAAAAATAAAAAAAGAGCTGGATCCGGTGATGCACATCTGTAATCCCAGAAACTCAGAGGACTGAGGCAGGAGGGTCCTAAGTTTGAGGCCCCTCAGCAATTTAGCTGAGCATCTGGGCAGATACTTGTCAAAAGAATAAATACACATGTCCAACAAGTGTATGAGCAAAATGTTCAACCTCATTAGCAGTTAGGAAAATTCAAACCAAAACTATATTGGGATTTCATCTCACACTGGTCAGAATGGCAGCCGTCGAGAATGCAATAGTAATAAGGACTGGCAAAGGTGTGGAGAAAAAGGAATGCTATTAGACTGTTGGTGGGACTGCAAATCAGTACAGCTATGGACATCAGTGTGGAGGTTCCCCAAAAGACTAGGAATGGAACCACCATATGACCCGGGCTATACCACTTTTTGGTTTTTGTCCCAAAGAATTAGAGTCATCTTACTAGAGTGACACATGCCTGCCCATGTTACAGCCCACGGTTCACCACAGCTGAACAATGGAACCAGCTAGGTGCCCATCAACCGAAGAGTGGATAAAGAAAATGTGGTGTATACACACAAGGGAGTTTTATTCAGCTATAAAGAAAATTGAAATTATGGTAGTTGCAGGAAAATGAATGGAACTAGAGCCCATGATGTGGAGCGAAATCAGCCAAACTCAGAAGGTCAAGGGTCGCATGTCTTCTCTCAAACGTGGAAGCTAGAGAGGGAAAAGGAGGGTATCTCATGAGCAGGAGCTCAGTAGAATATAGAAAAGGAAGGGGGGGTGCCGAGAGGGAGGGGGACGGGCTGGGGACTGGTATTGGCCAAATGAGATTGTTACATTGTGAGCATGTAAGACTATGTGACAGCAAACCTCACCACTATGCATAACTATCATGCACCAATAAAGAAGGTGCAAAAAAATAGTAAAGGGCCCGGGAAGCAGCTCAGTGGTAGAACATCCCTGGGTTCAATCCCCAGCACCAAAAGAAAAAAACAAAAAAAGTAAAGAGAACTCTACCCACCCCCAAAGCAGGTGACATAGTCCCCTATCTCCTCATGCAAGTCACTTCCTAAGATTCCCCACGGGGGGAGGGATGGGGTGCGGTGGAGTGGGAGCACCTTCCCGGCAGGCCGCGGGCCCTGGGTTCCACCCAGAACAGCAGAGAGACAACTCCCACCGGCAGCCCCTGCTCCCCTGCGTGTGAACACGTTGAAGTTTTGCCTTTAAAACAAATTAAGGGGAAGAGAATTCCCAGGCCAGCCTCCCGGCAGGTCTGATCGGCCCCTGCCACTCAGTAAAAGCCGCAGGTCGTGGGGGAAGAGCAGGCTGCGGAGGGAAAGCTCCATGACTGCCTATTTCAGGCGGCTGCTCTGGGAGGAGGGGACTCTGGAGGAACCCCCTTTGCCTGCGCAGGTCAGGGCCCGAGCTCTCACCCACTTCACCGTCATTGTCCCATTTTCCTTCAGGTGGACAAAAAGGAGATGCGAAACAACTACCTGAAGTCCCGCCGATTTAAGGTGCGTGCAGCTGGCCAGCTGTGGTGCTCGCGGGGCCTCGCAGGCTCTGGGGATGTGGCTGCCACTATCTCCCATGGAGTGTCCTCCAGGCCACTCAGGCTGGGTGGTGCTCAGAGGCCACCTTGCAACGGGTCAGCCCCTACCACTGGTTCCCAGTAGCCCTCGGGGCCATGGTCATGGTAAGAGACCTGCCTGGTGCTTCCACTGAGGCCGAAGCCCAGGGACGGTTGGTGGGATATCTCCTACCCTCCGTCTGACGCCCTCTTGGGGTTCTGACCTCATCTTTCCACAGTAGAGGCCCCACCCTTTCCCTTCACTCCCCTGCCCCCCCTTCACCGTGCACCGTGGGGGCCATTGGGATTGCAGATGGACCTGCTGTGCCTCCTGCCCTTGGATTTCCTCTACTTGAAGTTGGGCCTGAACCCCCTCCTCCGCTTGCCCCGCTGCTTAAAGGTAAGACCCGCAGCCGCCCTTCCCCTGTGCCTAATTAGCACCTCTGTGCTCTGCACTGAGACACTGCCACCTTAATGTCCCCCTAAGTTTCCCCCAAGAGCCTAGGAAGGGGGAGGTGTCCTCGAAGGTGGCCCAGGGGACAGGCATCTACTCCTCCCATGTCTTAATGGAAAGTGACCCCAGCTGCTCTAGGTTCTGTGGCACTGCTGCTAGGTGTTGATCCAGGGGCTCACCAGGCCCTGGTTCCTCAACCCTGGATGTGGGTGCTGTGCTGACAGCCTCAGAGAGCCTAAGGAACCTGCCCAAGGGCACACAGGATGGAGCACAGCCGGGGCTGGAGTAGGCAGTCTGTCCCCTCTGACCGTTAAAGAGATGGTCCAGAGTGGGGTTCTACTTTATGATGGGCTCTACCTAAAAGGCAGGGAGACTGGCACTTGGAGCTGCTGGGTGATGTGCCCAAGGTCACAGGAGAAGAAGTGCCAGGATGGATGTGAAGGCCCCGCCCACCACCTGTTTGTCATTGGTTGGTGCTCAATGTCAGTCCAGTTGTTCATCCTGCCACTCACTGGGTAGAGGCAGGGTCCCTGATACTGGAGACCTGGCAACTGTCCTTTAATGTGGCTAGGGTAGACAGCCACTCAGGGCTCCTGGGATCCCCCAAATAAATTTTTCCAGCCAACCACTTAAATTCCTCTCTCTCCCTACATGATGCCTGGTGCCTTTTTAGGGGGGATTTACACAAAAGGGAAATGCAATAACATCAATAACCCAGAGAAAAAGGGCAGAGAACACTATGAAACCGAGCCCAGGAGCTGCCTCTGAGCTTCCTGGCTGCCAAGGGGAAGAGGGAAACTGTACTTGGCACCATTCTTATCTGACTCGTACCAGCCTCCCGGGGGCTGCAGAGGTTGCTTTAGAGCTCGTCGTTGGCGTGAGGAAGGTTGGGTCCACAGGCCAAGACTACCCCAGATGTGGAAGTGAGGTCCCTGCCTTTGTTCATGAGGTAGCCCCTGTGAGCATGCGTAACTCCCAGGCCTAACATTTAGCATGACTCGGAGGGGGCATCCGTTTGAACCTGGGGGGAGGGCTCCAAGCCCATGGCTCTTCTCTATCCAATTCAAACTCTAGATGGAAATGGGAATGGGCCCCTGCATGCTGGCTGGCTGCCCTTTAGGAATTCTTCATAGATACGATTTTCAAATATCCAAAAACTGCAGGTGTTCAAAGATCCAGACGGATGTAGCCCAACAGAAGGAGCCGGCAGCTTGGAGTCTGATCTGAGTTCAAACGTTGGCTCGGGGCTGGGGCTGGGGCTGGGGCTGGGGCTGGGGCTGGGGCGCAGTGGTAGGGCACTTGCCCAGCTTGTGTGAGGCCCTGGGTTGGATCCTCAGCACCACATGAAAAGATAAACAAGTAAAATAAAGGTATTGTGTCCATCTACAACTAAAAAAAAACAAAAAAGAAAAAAAATTTGACTCTCACTTCCCAGCATGGGCTTTGGACACATTATTGGACTTCACTGAGTGACAACTTTCTGCCAAAGGAGAATTATAAGGCTGGGGGTGTGGCTTAGAGCTAGAGTGCTTTCTTAGCATGTGTCAGGCGCCGGTCTCCGTCCCTCTCATCAAGGAAGGAAGGAGGAAGGAAAGGAGGGAGGGAGGTAGTTATACAAGGTACTGATCATATAACAGGAGTTCCATAAAGGAGTAGTGGAGCACATCTGTAATCCCAATGACATGGGAGGCTGAGACAGGAGGATTAGAATGTGAGGCCAGCCTGGCACCTCCGTGAGACCCTGTCTCAAAAAATAAAAAGGGCTCGGGATGTAGCTCAGTGGTGGAGTGTCCCCGGGCTCAGTCCACAGGAACCCCCTGCAAAAAAAGTGGTTATTGTTATACTTTTATTACTATAAATAAGTCTTTGAAGGAACTAAGGAAGAAGTGTTAGGGATGATTTTTTAAAAAATAAGATCGTTCCCTTTAAAAGTCAACATTTAAAAGCGTCCCTAACCTGGAGTGCGTGGACCCTTGAAAGTCTCACGGTGGGGTTCAGAAGGTCTGGGAGTCCCCGTTAATTAACTATATGCCACTGTGAAACCAGGACCATGTGTGATTCCCAAGGGAAGGGGCCAGGGCTGCCATTGATTCCTAGTGGGGTTTCTGGCCCCACCAGGCCCAGGACGAGAGCCCTCTGGTTTGGGACATTCACTGTCCAGCCCCTTCCCCAGGAGGAAGGGCTCAGTCCTGGGGCCGCGGGCAGCAGGGAGCTGAGGGCAGTGTGGCCCCTGCAGCGTGGCTGCCCCTGACACCTGCTCCTTGCTCCCAGTACATGGCCTTCTTCGAGTTCAACAACCGCCTGGAAGCCATCCTCAGCAAGGCCTACGTGTACAGGTGGGGCCGCGCGCGCACACGCACACGCACATGCACACGTGTGGACACACAACAAAGACGCATGCCACGCACACCCACACCATACACACACACCACACATGCATGCACGCACACACACGTGTGCACATACCACAAACACACACACTACACACATGTGCTCACACACACATACCACACACACACCACCCACTCCCCCCACACACGCACACACACACCACACACTGCACACACGCACACTCCACACACACACTCCTCACACACACACACACACACACACACCCCAAGACAGAGCAGTCTCACCACGACCGTCACCTCCCCTGTCCCACCCTGACCTCCCGGCCTCAGCACACAGGAAGCGGGGCCTCTTCCTGGCCTCTTCCTGGCCCAGCCTCCTCCTCTCTGAAGGGATGTTTATGTTTAGAGTCAGGAATGTCCTATTTCCTCCCATTGTGACTTGGGACGAGGGTCCACACAGGTGGACGCAGCTGCTCAGCAGCACGGTGGGGGGGGCACAAGGTCACCAGCCACGCTGGGAAACAAGGCTCCTTGCACCTCTTCAGACCTCTCAGCCTCATGGTCACCTCTCTGCAGTCACCTGTCCCCTCCAGGCCCTCCCCACAGCCACGTGTCTCCCTTGTCCCCTCTGCTCCCCCAGAACTCATCAGCAGGTAGCTCTTCCCGCCTGGACCAGTCCCAGCCTCAAGTCTTGACAAGGTTCCCATCAAGGGCCACCATTCCTAACTGCCACTGCCTCGAAAGAGTACCCCACGGGGCCAGTGTGGCCACCAGCTGTTCCCACTGGCAGGGCGTCCACCCACGGCTGGGCCACACGTTCCAATGGGGGAAGTTGTAAAGTGGGCTTCCCAGGAGGAGAGGTGTGCCCCCTCGCTGCCCCTGGGGTGACAAGAGGCCACCAGCACGCTGTCACCTGGGGTCACGCTCTCTCTCACCCTGGGTGGTGTCCCGCCTGGGCAGGGTCATCAGGACCACAGCCTACCTGCTCTACAGCCTGCACCTGAACTCCTGCCTGTACTACTGGGCGTCGGCCTATCAGGGAATCGGCTCCACCCACTGGGTGTACGATGGCGTGGGAAACAGGTGAGCCAGCCTCCTCCGGGTGACATTCTCCTTCTTTGTCATTCAGAGCATACAGGCTCCTAGAAAGGAGTCTCCCTGCCACTGTTTTGCTAAGGAATGGCTTTCCTAAGATGAGGTTCAGGGGCCATGTCCCCTGTCTTCCTGAGCCAGTTTCCCGAGCACCTGCTGTAGGCTGGCACAGGTACAGATGGGAACGAGACCTGCAGGAAGGGTCCTTTCAGCTTCCCAAAGCCCAGGAGGGCAGGCGAGCACACCATCCATCTACCCCTCACCCCCCATGGCCCACTGGGAACGAGGCCACAAAACACTTCCCAACACAGCTTCCCGGGGGTCACCAGCCACCGAGGAGCTTGTGGACAGGGGCAACTGGCTTGCCATTCCCAAATTATACCATGGGAGGGTGGCGACGGTGTTTATGTGCCATGTGACACTGCAGGGAACCTTTGTCCTCTGGCCTGATGGTTTCCTCATCTCAAATTCTTGCAAGGGGAATAGCCAAGGGTGCAAAAATGTTAATTATTTGAATGAATAAAAACTAATAAACTTCTTTAGCGTGGTCTCAGGGTTATAGAAAGGTCCCTGGGGAAGTCCAGAGTTCCCATACATGGACTGCCTCATTTTCTTCCTTCTTTTCTCCCCCACGGTGCAGGGGATGAAGCCAGGGGCTGGTGCATGCCAGGCAAGCGCTCCCCTGGGCCTCTCATGATGCGAAAAGCTCACAGTCCAGCCCTCCACACTGGGTCCCCCTCCGGGCACCTGCTTCCAACTCTAGAGTTCGCCCCTTCTGAGACTCACAGTTTTTTTGTTTTTTTTTTAATTAGAGCGTTGTAGTTATAAGTAGAGGTTGGGTTCCTTTTGACAAACTCACATGTGCGTGGAATTTGATTGACCGCGTTTCAGTCTCTGCTCCCCTTTCCCTCCTCTCCTCCTTCCCCCGCCTCCTCGCTCAACTGGCCCCATTTTATTTATTTATTTTCAATTGGTGCTTTCTACATATACAGAAAGGTGAAGCTCCCTGTGGTGCATTTATGTATGCATTTAACGTGATTCTGTTAGATTCACCATATTTCTTCCCATTTCCCGTCCCTCTTTCCTCCCTCAGTCTCCTGCTCCACCCACCTTCCCTCTGTCTTCACGCTGTCCTGTCCTCCCACCCACCCCTACCTTCTTTCCCTAATTTTGCTCAAGCTTCCACATATAGGAGAAAAAAACATTTGACCCTTCATTGTCTGAGTCCGGCTTATTTCACTTGGCACGATGTTCTCCCTTTTCATTCATTTACCAGCAAATGCCATGATTTTATTCTTCTTTATGGCTGAGTAAAACTCCGTTGTGAGTATCTACATTCTCTTAATCCGTTCATCTGTTGGTGGGTATCTGGATTGATTTCATGCTTAGGCTATTGTAAAGTGTGCCGCTACAAACATTGGAGTGGCTGTATTGCTATCGTATACTGATTTTAGATCTTTTGGATAAATACTGGGGATCGGGATAGCTGGGCTGTATGGTGGTTCCGTTCCTGGTTATTTGAGGAATCTCCATACTGCTTTCCTGAGTGATGGTACTAGTTTGAGATCCCACCAACACTGTATGAGTGTACCCTTTCCCCCACATTCTTGCCAGCATGCATTATTATTCGTATTCTTGATAATTGCCATTTTGACTGGAGTGAGATGAAATCTTAGTGGAGTTTTGATTTGCATTTCCCTGATTGCTAGAGATGTTGAACTTTTTTTTTTTTCATGTATTTGTTGACCATTTGTGTTTTCTCTTCTGGGAAATGTCTCTTTAGTTCTCTTCCCCATTGATTGATTGGGTGATTTGCATGTTTGTGTATTTCTGGGTTATATTTTTTTGAGTTCTTTACATGTTCTGGATATTAACTCCCTGTTGGAGGAGCAGCTGGCAAAGATCTTCTCCCCTCCTGCAGCTCTCTCTCCACACTCTTGTTTCCTTTGCTGTATGGAAGCTTTTTAATTTGACGGCATCCTCCTTATTGATTCTTGGTTTTATTTCTTTGAGCTTCAGGGGTCTTGCTGAGTGCCTGTCCCAGTGCATTGGACTATTGAGCCGATGCTTTCTTTTAGCACTTGCAAAGTTTGGGTCTAATTCCAAAGTCTGTAGCCCATTGGGTTAGGGATTTAATTTCATTCTACACACGGGATATTCAGTTTTCCCAGCACCATTTGTTAAAAAGGCTGTCTTTTCTCCAACATATATTTTGACACCTTTGTCAAATATCGTGGCTGTGAGCATATGGGTTGGTCTTTGTGTCTCTCTTTCTATTCCATTGGTCTTCATTCTGTTTTGATGCCAGTACCGTGCTGTTTTTGTTACCACAGCTCTGTAGTGTGATTTTAGATCACGTATTGTGAGGCCTCTAGGATCAATCCCTCTTCTTGCTCAGGATTGCCTTGGCTGCCAGGCGTGATGGTGCCCGCCTGTAATCCCAGCAGCTGGGGAGGCTTAGGCAGGAGGATTGCAAGTTCAAAACCAGCCTCAGCAACTCAGTGAGACCCTGTCTCTAAATAAAATACAAAATAGGGCTGGGGATGTGGCTCAGTGGTCAAGTGCCCCTGAGTTCAATCCCAGGTACCCCCACCCCCCGCCAAAAAAAAAATAGAATTGCCTTAGCTATTCTGGGCCTCCTGTTCTTACAAATAAATTTTATTTGTTCTGTGAAAAATGTCATTGGTATTTTAATGGGGGTTGCATGGAATCTGAATATTACTTTTGGTAGCATGGCTGTTTTGATAATATTACGAACATGGGAGGTCTTTCCATCTTCTAAGGTCTTCTTCAATTTTTTTCTTCAGTGTTCTATAATTTTCATTGTAGAGATCTTGCACCTCCTTGATTAGATTAATGGCCAACCCTTTTTTTTTTTTTGGTTATTGTGAATAGGATGGCTTTCCTGATTTCTTTCTCAGCAGAATCACTGTTGGATTATAGGAAAGCTATTGATTTATGAATGTTGATCTTGTATCCTGCTATTTTGCTAAATTCATCTATCAGTTCCAGAAGTCTTTTGGTAAGGTTTTGGGGTCTTCTAGGCATAGAATCATGTCATCAGCAGATAGAGATAATTTGACTTCTTCTTTTCCTGTTTTTATCCCTTTAATTTCCTCCTCTTGCCTGGTTGCTCCGGCTAAAGTTCCGAGAACCATATTGAATAGAAGTGGAGAGAGTGGACATCTTTCTCTCATTTCTGATTATAGAGGAAATGCTTCCAGGTTTTCTCCCTTCAGTGTGACGTTGGTTTGGGGTTTGTCGTATCCAGCCTTTATAATGTAGAGGTAAGTTCCTTCCAGCCCTAGTTTCTCCTGTGTTTTTAACATGAACAGGTGCTGGATTTTATCAAAAGTCTTTTCTGAATCTATTGAGATGCTCATAAGATCCTTGGTCATTATTCCATTTACTGAAGAATTATATTTATTGATTCGTTTATGTTGAACCAACCTTGCATCCCTGGGATGAAACTCACCTGATCATTATGCATTACCTTTTTGAAGTATTTTTGAATGTAGTTTGCTAACATTTCATTAAGGATTTTTGCATTTATGTTTGTCAGGGATATCAATCTGTAGTTTTCTTTCCCGGATGTGTCTTTGTCTGGTTTTGGTATCAGGATTATACTGGCTTCAAAGAATATATCTGGAATGTTTCCTCCCTTTCAATTTCATGGAATAATTTGAGAAAGACTGGTGTTAGTTCTTCTTTAAAGGTCTGGTAGAAATCAGCTGAGAATCCATCTGGTCTTGGGCTTTTCTTTGTTGGAAGACTTTTAAGTGCTGTTTCAGTTTCATTTGACTTGACATTGGTCTGTCTAGGTTTTCTACATCTTCCTGGTTTGATTTGGGCAGGTCATATGTGTGTAGAAATTTGTCAACGTGAGACTCAGTTTTCTTATCTACAAAATGACCGTAGTATCACCTTCAGGATTCTGGAGAGGAATAATAAGCCAGTGCAGGTAAGATATACAGCCTGGGCCTGGACACTGGTCAGTGTCCCCTTCCTAGCTATAGCTATTTTTCTGGGGAAGCCAACATGCCAGTAAAGGGGTCCATAACCTTGGGTCAGTGTTTCTACCCTCCTGGAAATGGAAGCTAAATCTTGAGAATACGTTAATTTCACTCCAGGGGAGTTTCCTTCAATCCCAGAGGGCTCACGTCCCACTGAGCTAAGAACCCACCTCTCTGGCGCTGGCAGCCTTGGGAAGGGATGGAAAGCAGGAAGGGCACCCAAGTTCCTACATGTGCTGGTCCTTCACCCTGTCCAGGGCTCTCCTGCTCTGGTTCTGCCCAGCCTGGGCACAGAGGGAGGGTCCCACAGACCCACTAGCAGGGAAGACATGAGGACTTTGTCCCTAAGATGTGATGTGCCAATTAAGGTTCCTCTAACTGGGAGAAAGCCGGAGCTCTGTGGACACTGTCCTCTCTGTTGGTGGCCCAGCTACCTGAACACCCAGGTCTCCCCCAGCCTGGTTGGTCCCCAGGGTTGAGGGCTGCTCAGTCACTAAAGGTGCTCCACAGCCCTCTGGTGGCCAGAACAGGTATGACAGGGGCGTGACCAGGCAGCCTTCCTGGTGCTGCCCTGGACGTCCAGGCCACAGGTGAAAACGAGATTCAGAAAGGCCAGGGCCTCACTCCCGCAACCTCTGCGCCCTCCTCCCAGCAGTCAGTGCCCCTTTCTTGCTGTCCCTGCTGGAGGGGAACCTCCCGAGGACCCAGGCCAGGCTGTCCCTGCCCCCCCTGCAGGCCCGTGGCAGGCACTGGCCGCATGAAAGTCTTAACCACTGATTGGCTGAGGACCCACCTGCGCCAGGCACTCTTCTGACACCTCATTTCCTTCTCATAGTGGCCTGTGAAGGATGTCCCCTTGCCACCGCCATTTTATGGAGGAGACTAAACCTTGGAGAAATCTTTAAAACCTGCAAGTTCCGTAGCTGGAAAGTGGCTCTGAGCCCAGGTGGCCTGGCCCCGGAGCCCATGTTGCAGCTGCAGGGCTGCAGGCAGAGCTGGTGAGCAGAGCCCAGGGAGGCCCTGGACGGCTGGCCCCACGGCCCATCTCCAGGCTGGGCGGGCCTCCTTCGTGGCTGACTGCAGGGCGGCTCAGCCTGAGGGTACAGACCGGTGGGTGATCTCTTGCTGCTTTGTGATAACCAGACAAGCTCAGGGCATCTTCTGTGCCTTTTATCTCACAGGAGGATCCCGTCACCCACACCTCCCTTCCTGACATGTCGTGGGCCTCTGTCAGGGGTTACCTCATGATGGATGATTGACAGCCAGACAGATGGCACCCTGGTTCTAGTCCCTGTTCTGGGACTGCCAAGAGGGTGCTCCCTTTCCCTTTGGGGGCCTCATGTTCATTCTGGAAAATGGGTGGGGTAGGGGAGGGTCAGAAAAATTGTCATGGAGACATAGTTGTTCTATGAACCAGCAGGAGCTTGGCCCCAGGACCCCTGAGGATGCCAGAATCCAAGGACGCTCAGGTGCCCTCTACAAGATAGTGCGGTGTTGGCATGTCCCCCTGGCGCATCCCCCTGTGTTCTTTAAATCGTCTCTAGATGACTGATCACACCTCACACAAGTGCTCTACAGTGGTACGCAGTGTTGTTTAGAGAATAACAATGAGAAAAGAAGTCTGTATGCGTCCGATCTGCAGTTTTTTTTCTGATTATCTTCCATCTGAGGCGGGTTGAGTCTGCAGATGTAAAACCTGCAGCTCCAGAGGGCGACCCTGTCTTCCCACCTGGTTGTTCACCTGCTTTCTGGAAATCAGCCTGACAGGGGTTGACAAAGGACAAGAGTGTGGAGACTGAAGGGACATTGAAGGAGGCTGAAGGAGTGCAGTCACCGGAGCTGTCCATCCTCCCGACAGCCTTTCCTAGATACCTTGCAGCCTCAGTCTCCATGTCTGTATAGGGGCATGACAACATGTCCTGCAAGGAAGGGACAGAGCCACAGCCAACCCAGACAGCACCCATGAACCTGCTTTGGAAACCAGAATGTCCCCTGCCTGGGCGGGAGGCGAGTTTCCCTCGTGTGCATGGTGACATCTTTCAGAAATATCTGGACTGGGCTGCCCAAGGCCAGCAGGGTGGGTCCTATGGTGACCAAAGGCCTTTTTCTCTTCTCCCTCCAGTTACGTTCGCTGTTACTACTGGGCCGTGAAGACCCTCATCACCATCGGGGGGCTGCCCGACCCCCAGACCCTCTTTGAAATTGTCTTCCAGCTCCTCAATTATTTCACGGGGGTCTTCGCTTTCTCCGTGATGATTGGACAGGTAGCCGGGGCCCCAGCCTGCAGTCCCCCCCAAACCTGAAGGCCCCTCCCCCCACTGCTTCCAGAAGCCTTGCTCTCCCTGCGTGTTGCCTTGGGACTGAGCCTGAGAAAGAGCCCCGGGCTGTGGGGTCCCTCCCTCTCTGAGGTCCTTCCCACTTGAAATGCCCATCGGGTGTCTGGGGGAGCCCGTCGCAGGGTTTTCTGGAAAGGCGGGGGACTTAGTTGGCCTGTGCCCTGTGAGAGAAACTGCTGGTGTCTCCACCTGCGGGGGGAGTATTCATACTCTAGTTAGTGCTGGAGGTGACCATCGGGGTCCTCAAAACCACTCCGAGGAACAGCACACAGTAGGTTCCTCTTCCTCTAGCAAGGGCTTGGCCCACAGCACGAGGGTCCATGCTGTAGCAGAATCAGCCCAGACCAGTGAGCTTCCAGGGACCCAAGGCCAGCGCAGTGGGCAGCAGCCCCTCACCCTGCCCATGTCCATGCGGAGGCAGGACTCCCTCCCGCCCCCTGTCTGTGAGAAGCGACCCCTCCCCACCACCCTGCAGCTCACTGACTCCCCTGCCCTCTCCCCCAGATGAGAGACGTGGTGGGGGCGGCCACGGCGGGACAGACCTACTACCGCAGCTGCATGGACAGCACCGTGAAGTACATGAACTTCTACAGGATCCCCAGGTCTGTGCAGAACCGGGTCAAGACCTGGTACGAGTACACCTGGCACTCGCAAGGCATGCTGGGTAAGATGGGCCTGCCCCGGGTACCAGCTCCCCACCCAACCCCTGCCACCTGGTGCCGGGCTTCCCAGATGCTGCCCTCGTCCCGTGTCCCAAACGCTGCCCTCGCCCTGGTCTCCAGCTGGGCCTCTCTTGGCTGCGATGTTGAGAGAGGGGCCTCCTGAGGCCTCTGGGTACCTCCAGCTGGGACCTGGGACCCCCCAAAACCCGAGGGTCTTGTCTTCTGGCACGGTGTCTCCTCACCTCACTCCCCAACAGGCGCAGCCCCATCAAAGGTTCAGCACAGTTTAAATCAGGAAAGAGGAAGCCTCTCCTCCGCCTCCTCCCTCTTTGCTCTCCTCTCTTTCCTCCCCTGGGTGCGCACAGCAGACCTGTCCCCTGCTCTCCTGGGGCAGGCGGCTCTGGGCCACCCAGCCTGGGAGGGATCCTGCCTCTGTGCCCTGTCTGCACAGCCCTGGCAAAGCCTCTGCCCTTTCCTGATCACAGCAGCGGACCCTCTTGGGTTACTGGGACAACTGAATAAAATACTCTTTGTACAAAATTCTGTGAATACCTGGTACCTGGTCATCGCTTGCTCCTGTTCTTCTAGGGTGACTGGGAAAGCAGCTCACACACCATTGCAGTCAAGGGCGTGACAGGTCCTATAGCACAGGGACACAGAATCTGGGTGGGGGGGTGATGTTCAGGGGAAGCTTCCTGAAGGAAATGACGTTAGTGCTGGGTTTTAAAGGGTCAGTAGGAGTTCATTAGGGAACCGCATTCCTGGCACAGGTGTTGGTAAAGGCCTGGAGGCCACAGGAGATGCTTTCAGGGTCTTTCAAGAATGGTTTGCGCTTCAGGGGAAGGTGGGCTGCGTGAGCCAGAGCAGGGGTCTCGGCCAGGGCCTGCGTGGGGCGGGGCTGGCCTCGCCTCTGACCCTTGCCAGGTCTTGTTCACAGATGAGTCAGAGCTGATGGTGCAGCTTCCAGACAAGATGCGGCTGGACCTCGCCATCGACGTGAACTACGACATCGTCAGCAAGGTGGCGCTCTTCCAGGTACCCCGCCAGTGCCCTTTCCCTGGGGCCTCTGGAGGAACCGAAGCCCAAGACCTCCGCTCAGTGGGCCTCCTTTCCCCCTTCCTTGGGCAGGGCTGTGACCGGCAGATGATCTTTGACATGCTGAAGAGGCTGCGCTCTGTCGTGTACCTGCCCAACGACTACGTGTGCAAGAAGGTGAGCGGCCGGGGCCTGCACAGCCGCCCGCCCTCCCGGGCACCGGCTGGAGTGCATTCCTGATGGCCCAGAGACGTTTGCAAGCCCCCAGCCACTTTAGCCCTGTGCACTAGAGCCTCAGCTGACCTGGGATCAGTGTACCCAGCCCCAGGCAGTGGACGTGCACCAAGGTGCCCCAGGATTTGCAAAGCGTTCCCATCCCTCCCTCGGCCTGAGACCAGGGGCGCAGGATGAGGATTCCCGCCTTGTAGAAGAGGGAATCGAGGGGCTTCACCGTGCAGATGGAACTGCTTCCAATGCCTCCGTCTTTCTATCAGGAAAATGGGAGGGAAGAGGGGTGGGCCCTGGCTGGAAGCTGCAGGCTGGTGCCCTTGTGAGGTTTAGTGGGTTTTTTCCTTAATCTTTTTCTTTCCCCCAAGTTGAATTGGTCTCTAGCCTCCAAAAATTGGAAGGTTTCAGATAAAAGTCTGGATGGGTGGCTGACTGGGCCCCATGCTCCCAGACAGCTGGAAGGAAGGAGGCTGTCCCCAACGGGACAGAGAGCTGGGGGACAGGAAGGAAAAACTGCTGCAGGAGGCTGAGGTTCAAAGTTCCCGGGAGGGATCTGGGAACAATCAAGTGATGTCCCTGACACTGGAGCCCTGTCCTCGCTGCGCAGCTGAGCCAGCGTCCGCCCTTCCTGCTCGGCTCCTGGGCGACGAGGGGCCATTGGTAGTGCCTCCGTATGGGGGTGGGCTGGGAGGGGAAATATGAGCCCATGGCTTGGCACTGTGCCTGGCACAGAGCAATGACAATTGCGTGGCTGTTGTCTGCCTGGGGACCGCAGTTGGCAGTAGGTGAGAGGACGGCAGCAGGTGTTGGGAGTCTGCCGTTCCCAGCCCCGTGAGTGGCGCCCTCTGCTGGCGGTTTTGCTCGGCGACACTCTCCAGGGGCGGCCTTCCAGAGAGGGGGAGCTTGGTGACCCTCACACTTTGGCCCCGTGACAGACTGAACGTGGAAACAGGAAGGCCCACTACCTCCCCATTTCTCGAAGAGGGTCGCGGTGTGAGACACGCAGGAAACATTTGGTGAACAAACCTAAAGTGTCACGGGTTCCTGTCCTTGGCCTCTCCCCATTTCAAATATGCCAGGCATGACGGACAGGTGGCAGGCCTCTTTTGTTGGCTTCTTGATGGCCTTCTTCTCTGTGTCCCTTCATATCATCTCTCCTCTATGCCTGTCTGTGTCCAGTTTCTCTTTTTGGGGGGGTGGGGCAGGTACTGGGAATTGAACTCAAGGCCGCTTAACCACTGGGCCGCATCCCCAGCCCTTTTTACTTTTTATTTTGAGACAGGGTCTCCCTCAGTTGCTTAGGACCTTTTAGTTGCTGAGGCTGGCCTCAAGCTTGAGATCCTCCTGCCTCAGCCTCCTGAGTCACTGGGATTACAGGCGTGCGCCACCGTGCCCGGCCCCAGTTTCCCTTTGTGTAAGGATGCCAGTCAGATTGGATTGGGCACCCAGCACCCACCCGACTCCAGTACAGCCTCATCTTAATTGAATTACACCTATGGGGAGCCTATTGCCAGATACGGTCACACTTTAAACTACTGGAGATTACAATTGGGACAGATAATGGGGGCGGAGTGGGGAATTCAACCCATAACAACCATGAAAACCACGAACTCTGGAACCAGCTGGATCCAGTCCTGGCTCTGCCTCGTCCTTGCTTTATGACCTCGAGAAAAGCTCAGTCCTGCCTCCAAGGGTGCGGAGCCTTCTGAAGGTACAAGTGCGCGGGGCACTCAGACCAGGGCTGGCACCGCAAAGCGTCATGGACCCGCGGGGCTTGGTGGTTCCTGAGTTAGCAAACACCTGGTAGGTGCTGGGCCTGGACAGTCACTCACAGCCTGGGCCACTGTCCTGGTCACTGTCCCATGTGCCACACCCCCATTGCCGGGTAGAGCTGGGAATTGCAGGAGACCCTTACGCCAGCACCTGGCACGTGGCTGGTTTTTCTCTCCTGCGACATGCTGACCCTCCCCTCGTGAGGCCATCAGTCGGGCAGGCAGGGCGCGCTGGCCTCCCCGGTCCACAGATGAGGAGTCTGAGGCCCCGGTGGGACGTGATTGGCCCCATGGGCTCAGTCTTGGTGCCTCCTCCCTGGGCCACCAGCCTCAGAGCCCAGCCCTCGCCTCTTCCCTGCTTGCTCTGAGGGGGACAGAAGGACTCTCCGCGGTCTGTTTCAGGGGGAGATCGGCCGGGAGATGTACATCATCCAGGCAGGGCAGGTGCAGGTTCTGGGGGGCCCTGACGGGAAGTCTGTGCTGGTGACACTGAAAGCTGGATCCGTGTTTGGAGAGATAAGGTCAGTGGGAGGCTCTGGGCGAGTGGGAGGCTCTGGGCAAAGGCTGGGGCAGGGGCCGCGGTGGATCTTGGGAGACTGGGTGGGCACAGCACGGGCACCTGCTGGCATTTGCAGGCTGAGTCTGGGCTCTCAAGTCTGTGGGGTCACCATCGTGCTCCACGCAGCGGGGGATGCACCGTTGATCGTGACCACAGCCATGATCCTGGGCGGGAAGGTGCGCACCTCTGGTCCCAGCCACCTGCGCGAGGCTTGAGCCCAGGGGTGCAAGACCAGCCTGGGCCATAGCAAGACCCCATCTCAAGAAACAGAATCCCAGACTCCCCCAGCCTCGGAAGGCTCTCACCTCCTCCCCTCTCCACCCAGTCTGCTGGCCATCGGGGGCGGGAATCGGCGCACAGCCAACGTGGTGGCCCACGGCTTCACCAACCTCTTCATTTTGGATAAGAAGGACTTGAATGAAATTTTGGTGCATTATCCTGAATCTCAGAAGTTGCTCCGGAAGAAGGCCAGGTACATAATTTACTTGTTTGGTTTTGTTTTTCATTAACCTAACCATGGTACCTTTACCAAAATCAGGACATTTAACATGGAAACAACACCCTTATCTACCTGGGACCCATTTCAGATCTTGCTAATCATCCCAGGGGCGTCTCTTTCAGCTTGTCTTGGCTTCTGTTCCTTCCTGGATCAGACCCAGGGTCACACGTCACATGGGGTCGCCACTTGTCCTTTGTCTCCTTGGATCTGGAACCACTGGTCAGCTGGCTTCTCTCTTTACTGAATTTGATTTCTTGGAATTGCACTGTCCTAGGTCTGGGTTCCCCCGACGTCTTCTTGTGATGACCCTCAGGTTCAGATCTAGGGCAGGAGTGACCCTGTGTCTGTCTCAGTGAGCTCATTAGGGGCACGCGGGGCTGGTCTGATGGTTTTTAATTCAATCTCGTGGTCAAGTTCTACACTATTGTTAGTGTTTTTCTTTTTGTAATTAATAAGTAACTACAGGGCAGTGACTTGAGGACCATTCAGGTGTCCTACTCCCCTTAGAACTTTTTATTTTTGGTACCAGGGATTGAACCCAGGGGTGCTTAACCACTGAGCCACATCCCCAGCCCTTTTAATATTGTATTTAGAGACAGGGTCTCGCTGAGTGGCTCAGGGCCTGGCTAAGTAGTTGAGGCTAGCTTTGAACTCACGATCCTCCTGCCTCAGCCTCCCGAGCCGCTGGGATTCCAGGCCTGGGCCACCGCGCCCGGCTCATAAAACTTTCATCTCTTACCTTTAGTATCTGCTGGCTGTTCCTTGCTAAATTTCCAAAAGTCCACATTTTACAAAACTGTATGCCCAGACAAGCGTCCCCTACTGCCACCCACCCCTGGGGATGGCCAGCCTCATTGGTTTCTGCATTTCATTCCTATGTTGACTTTTACAACAGGTAGGCAGATCCACGGCTGTGTTATTTTCCCTTCCCCGTTGCTCAGAGGCAGCATACCATAGATTCTTTTTGCACCTGGCTTTTCCCCCTTGACAAAATATCCTGGGAGCTGCTTTCTCGGTGCACGGACGGCTTCCTTGTCCCCTTCAGCGGTTTGCACGACATTCCTGTGAGTGTGCACTGAGGGTATTTCCAGCGTTTTGCAACCCGTGACCTTGTGCACCTGTATTTTGTATTATTGGAAAATAGGTCATTTATAAATTTTTTATTTTTATTTTTTAGCAAAGCAGGGCTTTGCTTTCAGATCCTTAAGATTGGGCTTCAAACTGAGCGGCAGAGGCAGTACCCGGTGGTAGAAAGCCCAGAATAGACTTGGGAGTCCAATGAGGCTCAAATCCCTTCCATGTGAGTTACTGGCTGTGTTTCTTTAGGAAAGTTGCTAAACTTTTCTGGTCTCAGTTTTTGCCTCTGTAAAATAAAGGTGACCACCCCTGACTTTGCCGTTGTGAAGATTCAATAAACCAGGGGCGAGAACATCTCTGTGGGGTGCCTGGCAGGTGCTCGATTCATGATGATAATCCTCGGGTTCCCCTTTTTACCCATTGAATTCTCCCTCAAGTTTTTCATTTGGAAAAAGCCTCTTTATACATGTATTCCCTCCCTCGCCCCATTTTGTCACATATGCTAACCTTCCACTTGGTTCTATCGAATGTGGCCATCGAGGAACAGCACAGAGAGCTCAGAGGAAGGGAACAAGTCACCAACAGCCATTCATCCAGCACAGAGTTCTAGGCCCTGGGGACACAGCAGGGACCAAAGCTCACATTCTACTCAGGGCGACTGACAATGGAAAAATGGGTGGTTCTGGGAGGTGTCAGCTGTGGTAGGGGCCATGAGAAAATAAAGGCCATGTGCAGAGACAGAGGAGATGGAAGGGGCTATGTGAGACAAGCTGGGCCGGGGACACGAGTCTCAGGAGGCGGCATTTCAACCAAGACTTGCACAGAGGGAAGGGGGGGCTGGGAGTGTTTTCCGCAGGGTAAAACATTCCAGGCAGGAGGAATGGCATGTGCAAAGGCCCTGAGGTGGAGCAACCTCCGTGTGTGTGCAGAGAAACAGCAGGAAAATGGGTGTCACTTGATGTGGGATCAGAGAAATGGAGGGAAAGAGATTGTGTGGGGCCTTGTAGACAATGACTTGGCAACGGCTTTGGCTTTTACTCTAAGGAAGACAGGAGCTGTGGCATGTGGTAGAGACAAGCCGCCCACCTCACGGCAGCCTGGACGCAGACAGACAGCTTACATATGGCAGAGTCGCTTGATGTGACAGGTGTTTACAGGATTCCTTTGGCAGCTTCAAGGTGAAAGGAGGCAGGGCTGCTACTGAAGCATCACATGCATCTGGCGCTGAGGCCCCTGGGGAAGGGAGCTGCCTGTAACTCAGCATATCTGGCTGCTCTCAGGAAGCCCATGGGCCAGTGTACTAGAACTTTCCTGACCTGATCTGCCCACTGTCCTTGTCACAGCAGGTGTACAAACCAGCTCCTCCTCTTCCAGGGGCAGAGAAGTGGAGGAGATCCTCATTCTCACCATTTCCACTCTACATTCTCCACTCACTCATTTCCTGGGTACCCCAAGATTGGTGCTCACGGGCTTCAGTCAGGACATGCCCAGAGTGACCAAAAATTTGGGTCACTCAAAATGCATGTTCCCAGCTGAAGTCAGATGAGGGGACCCTCTGCCTCCCTGTTGGCGCTCAGCCCTGTTACAAAACACCCGGGATGAGCAACCCGTGAGGAGCAAGGACTTATTTTAGCTCATGGTTTCAGAGGGTCCAGCCCGTGGTCCCCTGGCCCGGTGGCTTTGGGCCTGTGCTGAGGCAGAACACTGTGGCCGTGTGGTAGAGCCAAGCTGCCCACCTCACGGCAGCCTGGTCGCAGACAGACAGGCAGACAGAGAGAGAAAGGGCAAAGGCTCCCCTGCCTCTTCAAGGCCACACCCCCAATAACCTAACTTCCTTCCCCTAGGCCCCGCCTCCTCAGGGTTCCACCACCTCCAATAGCTCTGCAGGCTGATGACCAGGCCTTGAGCACATGAGCCTTTGGGGAACATTTGAGATCTGTGGTCATTTCAGGGCCACTTTTTTCAAATTGTGTTTGTGCTCTTCGTTGGTGACTTTGCTGTTTAAAATGGTCCCCCAGCACAGGGCCAAAGTGCCACTGCTGTGTTCCTAAGCACAGGAAGGCTGCCGTGTGCCTGCACAGAAAGTAGGTGTGATGAGCTTCGCTCAGGCCTGAGCCCGGCACCGCTGGCTGTGGTCAGCACTGATGAGGCCAATGTCATTAGTAAGGGAGGCTGTGGACGGCGGTTGACAACGCTGTGGTGAGAGGTTCCGGGGCCTCACCTGTGTTTTCTGGGAGCTTTGGTTTCGTATTTGCTGATTCAGGGTCTGCAGACACCTTACTGAACAGGATTCTCGCAAATCGTGCAATTCAACTGTCCACGTCTGAAACTGCCTTCAGGGCCCCTGCTCTGTCTCCCTGTCCCTCCCCCCGCAGAGGAACACGTCTCAGGGGCACAGTTGGCTCCCTGTCCCTCTGGAGGGGAAGGTGAGCTATTGGCAATGAGGAGGGCCCTCGCCAGGGCCGTGAAGGGTCCCTGTTCCCTACAGTGTCCCCAAGACCCTCCGGGACTGTGGGGTGGCAGAGGAAGGGAGAGGGATGAGACCGGGGCATCCCAATCCCTCAGAGTGGCTGTCCGCTGCCTTGGGACAGGCCAGCTTGGAGAACTAGGAGATGACTCTGCCCATCAAAGGAGAGACTGTCTGAGACCCACAGACACCTGAGTTGACGAGGTCCACTCAGGGGATTCTGTCTAAGACCCCCACTTCACAGACGGGGACCCTAGGCCCTAAGGAAGTGGGGTGCCCACGGTCCTGGCCTGGCCACTCCAAGTCAGGGGCTGAAAGGTGTGCTCGGGGCCCCTTTCCCAGGGCAGTACCTCGCCCTAATGAACGGGAAGCTCATCCACCGATGATGAGGACAGATGTCCTCACTCTGGAACGTCCCCAAGGCCAGCACGGTGTTTCGGAACAGGGCCAGCCGCTAGCAATCGGCAAAAGTCCTATGGAGAGCGCCTTTGTGTCCTTCCTGTGGACTGCCGAGCCATGAACTATGGACTCAATAACCCAGGTGACGGTGCCAGGCCGGTCTCTAAGAGGCCCTGATGAATCGCCATGTTGGTGCCCTCCGGGGGAGCCCAGTGAGAACATGCAAATCTTGGGCAAATAATATCAACACCCACAATTTAGACCCACGGCCTCTGATTAGAGGAGCAGCCGGGAATGGCCTCATTTTTAAACAAATAAGTTGCGCCGGAATGCTGATGAGTACGCTTGCCGGCTGGTCATCTAGATGGCAGGTGACGTCCATTTGTTCCTGAGCTAAACCACTCAGCACATACTCGGGGCAGGAAAAATGTCTTGTAAAAAGGGGGGGGGGTGCTGTGTTTGATGGAAAATTCTATCCTCACTTAGAGAAACAGGGTGGCACGGGACACTAGATCCGGACTGGGATTCTGCCTCTGCCACTTCCGAGCAACCTTGGACATGTGCTCCCCCCACGGTGGGTTTGAATTCTAGCTCTGTGGCTTCCTGGCTGTGTGGCCTTGGGAAAGTTACTCACCCACTCTGAACATCTGCATCCTCCTTTGGAGATGAGAGTCTGGGGATGGCTTATCTGGACCTGTCATCAAGGTGACAGCCAGGGCCAGGTTGCATTTCAAGTCTTCATGGGGGGAGGACCTGATTCCAAGGTCACATGATCGTTGGCTGAATTCAGATCCTTGGGGCTACAGGATGGGGTGCTTCTGTGCCCAGCTAGCTGTTGGCTGGCGGCTCCCTGCAGGGTCCCCAAATGTGGCTTCATCAGAGCCAGTGGGGGAGTCTCTTTGCAAGACCGAGATCCCAGTCCTGGGTGGCACCGGCAGATGAGGTTGTGGATCTTGTAAGAGCTGCATGTCTCCCTGGTCCTGCCGGACGGGGATCCCACAGAGGGGTGAGCACCAGGAAGGGGAACTGGGGTCCCAGAGTGCTGTGAAGGGGAGCACAGGGCCCAGCCCCTAGGCACTCAGGCCCCCAGGGTCTGTTTCCTGTTGTTGTGAGAATCCCCGGGCTGGGGGCGGGGCTTGGGCCTGGGTCCCAGATCTGCCCTCAGCACTGCCAAGAAGAAAAGCAATACCTGGGGGGGGGGGGGCACGGGATACAGAAAGGAGGTGTGTTTGGCTCCCAGTCTATAGGTCAAGGGCAGGGGCTCAGTGCTGGCTATGGGCTTGGCTCTGTGAGGACCCCACAGCAGATGCCATCATGATGGGAGGAGGTTGGAGAGAGACCTCACAGTAAGACAGGAAGCCAGAGAGAGAGGAGGGCAGCCAGGCTCCCCCTTGTATGACAACCCTCTGGGACCCGCGACATCATTCCCTCAGTGACCTCATTACTATACACCAGGCACCCCCTCTTCAAGGTTCCACCACCTCCCAACTCTCCCAAATGAGAGCCCAACATGTGGTTCCTTGGGGGACACACTCAAACCATATCCACACCGTACCACTGTCCTTTAGTGAGTCCTGTGTGACCAAAGATGAGTTACTTAACCTCTCTGAGCTCCAGCGTCCATAAGGACCTCTACATCCAGAAGACCCACCTCATGGTGGATGTTCTGATCCTTCAAGGAGGTCTGTGCATACACACCGAGCCCTGTGCTTGGCTCAGAAAAGGCGCCCCCAAGCCATCAGCCACCCCCACCACCAGCACAGAGCTCTGACCCAGAGGGACTGCACGGAGGAGGCGCCGCTCCCGCCCCAGGGTGCTCCTGATGTGAGCAGGCGGCTCTCTTTCAGGCGCATGCTGAGAAACAACAACAAGCCCAAGGAGGAGAAGAGCGTGCTCATCCTGCCCCCGCGGGCGGGGACCCCGAAGCTCTTCAACGCGGCCCTCGCTGCAGCAGGGAAGATGGGCGGCAAGGGGGGCAAGCTGGCCCACCTCCGAGCCCGCCTCAAGGAGCTGGCTGCGCTGGAGGCCGCCGCGAGGCAGCAGCAGCTGCTGGAGCAGGTGAGGCCCTTGGGACCCAGACGCCCTGTCTGTTTCCGGTTTGTGCCAGGGAGGCCGGGGGACCTCTGAGAGTGGCACTCACTTGGTATTAGGGACCCCTACGCACAGTTTCTTTCCATCAGGCAGGACTCATTGGGTGGCCAGGGACAGGCGGCAAGTTCCAATTAGCTGAGGGAATCGGGGAGGCAAGTCATAGACAAGTTCAGGTAAAGCTGGATCCAGGAGCCCAAATGGGGCCAAGAGGATCTCACTACAAACCTTCTGTCGCGACGGTTTTCTTTGGTGAGACTCCACTTCCAGGCAGGCCCCTAAGATCCCATCCTCCTGGTGTCCCCACTCCACCAGAGAATACCTCTTCCCCAGAGATCCAAGCAAAAGTCCCGGGACTCACTGTCCCTGGCCAGAACTGGCCCACACGACAATTTGGGAGCCATTTGGTGCAGCCAGTGGAGCATAGTACTTGGGAGGGACCCAGGCCACATGCCCAGCCCTGGGCAGAGAGTGGCAGGATGGGGTGGGGACGTTCCCTAATGGGAAGCCCTGGTGCTGTCACGGAGGTGGAAGAGAGCATCTGGACAGGGAATGTCCCTCCCCGGGGTCAGGGAGAACTTCACACTGTGTCTGTGACCCATTAAAAGATCTGACAGGAGCACTCCCACAGACAGGCACAGCGTGGGGCCCCCACCCCCATAAAGCTGAAGGGAATATTAAAATTAGTTCTGGGATTTTTTTTTCTGTGACTAAAGCCAAGAATGCCAATTAGAATAATTACGTTAATTATGTCTGTTCATGACCGTCCCTTAGGGAGGCTGCCAGGGAAGGAGGTGGCCAGGGCAGGCGAGCGCTCAGTTGTGGGGCTCTCTGGGGGTACAGACAGCAGGACACATGACAGGGTTCAAGGGAGCCCGGTGAATTCCACCTCCACCCAGGCTGGTGTCAGAGTCCAGGGGACCCATCCAGGGGTCACTGATGGCAGGAGTGTGGTGAGTCTGGGGTTCTGAGATAGCCTCTAGACACAGCCACCAATGGCCACAGGTTGAAGAAAGATGCGATTGCTGAGCTTGGCAATCACCAAGGTCAAGGTTGAGCTCGGCAATCACCAAGGTCAAGGCGGAGCCCGGGCTGGGGTCATGAGCGCTGGCTGCTGTATGGGGCTGAGCGTACATGGACTCCCAGAGTGCGCTCAGTGCAGAGGAAGGCTTCAGCTGCAATGGATTCGTTGCTCCTAAGTGTCATCTCGTCACTGAGATGTAAATTAAATTTGCATGAGGGTTCTAATAAAAGGCATTTCCTCTGCAATTTAGAACAACCAGGGCAGAATGGCAGAGCACGAGGAGCTGTTAGAAGTGCAGAGATGCAGGTCGCAGGTCGAAATCCCAGCTCTGTCACCTGCTAGTTCCATGGCCCTGGGGACCCTGAGCTTTCTGCAACCCAGATTCCTCATTGTTGCCCCGTGGGGTCGTGAGAGCAAGCAGGCCACTTTGGAGACCATTTATAAGAGCATTTTGAACACAGAAAAGCACTTCACTTTAGGCTTCCTGAGATTCCCCTGGCTCTGATCAAAGCATGTGCTTCAGACGTCCCCTCTGAGCACCGTGCCCTGGAAGGGTGTTGTCCGAGTTTCGGGTGGACAGGGGAGGACGGAACAGGTGCACCAAGACAGAGGGAGCAGCAGGTCCCCGGAGCTGCCTGGTGTTCTAGGAGCACCCTGTCCCCTGGCTCACTGTTCCCTTCCTTTAAAACCCTACGACTTGGGCGAACTTCAGGGGTCCCTGTTCCTCACAGCATGCCGGTCGCTCTCCCTTTCAATTTACAACCACTGCCTCAAGTGGGTCTCAGGCACCTGAGGACCATCTGGCCTCATCCTCTGGGGGCGGCTCCTGGTCCAGTTTCCTTCCATGTAGAAATGGATCAGGCAGCAGGCAGGCCCACAGGCAGCCACGGGGCTTCGGTTTGGTTTTTAGTTTTGTTTTAGCCCAATTCCCTAGCTGGGAGCAGTGGCCCGTGCCTATAATCCCAGCAATCAGGAGGCTGAGGCAGGAGGATCACAAGTTCAAGGCCAGCCTCTGCAACTTAGCAAGGCCCAAGAGGACTTAATGAGACCATGTCTCAAAAAAAAAAAACCCACCAGGATGGCCAGTGTAGTGGCACACACCTGTAATCCCAGAGACTCCCAGGAGGCAGAGACAGGAGGATGGCAAGTTCAAAGCCAGCCCCAGCAAAAGGGAGGCACTAAGCAACTCAGTGATACCCTGTCTCTAAATAAAATACAAAATAGGGCTGAGGATGTGCCCCTGAGTTTAATCTGTGGTACCCAAAAAATAAAAAATAAAATGGGCTGGGGATGTGGCTCATCCTTGGTGAGCATCCTGGGGCTCAATCCCCAGTACAAAATAAATAAACAAACCCAATTTGCTGTTGCTACACAGGCCATGGCCAATGTTGACAGGAGGAAGCACAGGCTAGGAGGAGGTGTCTGCCCTGTCCAGGAGTATGGGGTCAGCTCAGCCTAATGCCAATGGCATCCAGCCCCATCCTCCCCTGATCCAACCCTTGAGCTCCTGTGGCTCCTGCCCTCATCAGCCTCTACCCTGCCAGCTCAGGAGTTTTCTGTCTCCCCACCATCATCCACACCTGGGAGTGGGCGGGGCAGCTCGGGTCACCTCCCTCAATAGTTGCAGAGGTTTCCTGCTCTGCAACCGAGGATGTTCCAGAACCTTCCATGAAATCCAGCTGGGACTTTCTGTCCTTAAACTTCCACATAGCATATTCTGCTGTTTCTAAATAACCTCGATAAGCTGCCCTGACCGAGCGGACGTCCGCCGGGGGCACCCACCGTCCTGCTCTTTGGGCCCGAGAAGACAGAAACTAGGAGGTACCCAGACTCCTCCAGACCCCCTGGGCGTTTGTTTCTCACCGATCATCCTTTTTGAATTTCAGGCCAAGAACTCGCAAGAAGCCGCAGGAGAGGGGGGCGAGGCAGGCTCTGCCGCCCAGGACCAGCCCCAGGCCCCCTCGGCCCCCTCGGCCCCCTCGGCCCCCCCTGGCCAGCCTGCACCCCAGGAGCCCGATGCAGGCGGGGAGGGAGTGGATGGGCCGGAGGAGCACTCGGTGCGGATCAGCATGAGCCCTGGCCCAGATCCAGGCGAGCAGTCTCTGTCCATAGAAATGCCCGAGGAGAAGAAGGAGGCGGTGGAGTGAGTGAGGGTCGCCCGCGCCCCCTCTGGCAGGTGCACCCGCCTGCCCGCTGCGCCCTGTGCAGGGCCCGGTGAGTCCGAGGACGCCTGCCCGCTTTAGTGGCCTCAGTCGAGCCAACCTTCCTGTTCCTACGATGCCTCCTGATGGACTTGGTCTTGAAATCAGCAAATTTCCATCAAATGTCGGTGTCCCCAAGCTCCCACAGTCCCGGGACCCCGCTGTGGTTTATATTTTAAAAGAACAAAATCACTTTCCGCTTTTAAAATTCATCTGCAGGTAATGAGGCTCTGGAAGCTTTTGGAGAAGTCAGGTCTGGGAGTGGGAGGGCTTCTCCGCAGGGATTCGTCCCCTTTATGTCCCCTTTATGTCAAGGGTAAGAAACAATGGTGGGGGCAGCCTGCTGTCCTTGGTGATCCTGGTCAGAACCGGGAATGCTGTTTTCCTTGGCTAGGCAGTTAAGGGACATTAAGGGACACGCAGCTTATCAGGCTGGCCCTGCATGTTCCCCGGACTACATTCAATTGCCTGTCTGACGCCATTATGTCAGAGCAGATAAGAGGGAAATGACTTGGTGGAAATGGACTTAGCGTTCCCAGGTAAAGGGCAGCTCTGTGGGAGCATCCTCAGCCTGTCACCCTGAAAAGCCCCATTTCTCACCAGCAGGGATCAGGCTGTCACTTGCCTTAGACACCCTTGCTGTAGAAATGGTGGCAGCGACTTGGATTAATCCTCAAAAATGTAATCTCACAGCTGCTGACACCACTTAAATCCCTGAAGTCTCTCCAGATCATGTCATGTTTATATGATTACAAAAAAAAAGCAGAAACGGTTATTCAGTCCATGAATATTTATCAAGAGGATTTTATTTGCATACCGAGTGGCTCTTGGGGGAGCCCATGACTAAAAACAAAATCTGGTATTGAACCATTTGTTTCCACCACCAGCAACCGTGAACCTGAAGGGCCTGAATTCCAGTAGGTTCTTCCCATTTTATATCAAATGACAGGACATGGGGAGCCCCTGAAGGGACTTCCCGAAGGCTCCAAACTGTAGTATTTGTCCTTTGGCTACAAACAACACTGTGACATTTTTAAACAATTTGGGAGTTCCCAGGTGGGTCCAAGCATTTCCAAATCCCAGAGTGATGAACAGATTTATCTCATTGATGTCATGTCATGTGATCTGGCAATCATTCCACTGAACGCCATTTCACTGGTACAGCCGTTCACGACATTGAATGTAATGATGATCAGCATTATTATTCTCCTTTTAAAGGGTTTTAGTCATTTGTTTTAGTAGGTTAAAAACATTCACATGGGGCTGGAGACATAGCTCAGATGGTAGAGTGCTTGCCTTGAATGCACAAGGCCCTGGGTGCAATCCCCAGCACAAAAAAAAAAAAAAAAAAAATTCACATGGGTACAAAAGGATACTCAGGAAAAATGATTGATCCTATCCCTGGCTCCCAGCCTCCCTGGAGCCCTCTTTGGGAGTAATCACTGTTGTCAGCTCCCTGTGTATCCTCTCAGAGATATTTTATGCTTATGCAAGTAACTATGTATATTCATAATGTGCAATCTGATTGTCACGTACAGGGGCTGCCGGTGAGCTCGGTGGTGGGAGACTTACCTGGCATGAGCAAGGCTCTAGGTTTCACCCCAGCACTGGAAAAAATCTTGTATGGACCTAATTTCACTGGCATAGTCTTTTTAAATGGGGAAGGTCTGGGAGTTTAGGAGGATTTCTTCCCTTACCCTTATTTATCATTCCCATATTCGCACCACATCTTCTAAGACCCAAGCACAGAGAATGCTTCCACTCTTAGCAAATTATTTCTGATCTTCACAGAAGGTAAACATATTGCTCTTCTGAAGACGGCAAAATGTTTCAATGGCACCTTCAGTGTGAATCCTGTTTTATAAGGAATCTTTTGTATGTGAATGCTCTTCTTTCTTTAGTTGTCAATCCTTGACCATGTACTGCTTATTATGTAAAACAAGAGATTCTTACCGTTCTCAAGAATTGCCCTGGAAAGAAATTGATTTTGAAGTGAGATGAACAGTGCCTTAATTACTTCACTGAGCTATCTTAAATCAAATTCAACACTTTCCCAAAACCTGGATATTCGGTCAATTGAGTTCAAGACGGGCATTATTCTCCAAATTGAATTGGACTGTTGGTTGCTGAGATATGAACGGGACAGCTCAGAAACAGTGTCATTGTACAACCGAGGAATTCTAGGACCTTTATCTGCGAATGTTGAATCTCTGTGCATTTTGAATGTCTCAATATTTCCTGCATTTTGGTAGAAAATGAATAGCAAGTTATTTTTTTCAACTACATAAATATTTTAAACCAAACCAAGAAACTGTTTAAAATTTCATAATCAAAATGTGTTCAGCTATCAGGAATATTATAATCTGTTTCCTTAGTAAACATGAATACTTCACATACACACTTGGGCTTTCAGATTACAGCGCATTTTAATTAAAGTATTTAGACAAATGTTCTTGGCTCTTGGATTCATTTTAAAAGCCGGCTGTGTGTGACAGCACCTCCGTGAGCGGTACTAAGTGAATCTCCTGGCTCAGGCGCCCTTGCTCATCTCCCACTGACATCTTTGGAGCCATAATCCATCCTTTATTCTGTCTCTGGGGTGATGTCCTTATCAAACCCCCACGGCCCCTGGAATTCTAAGAGCCTCGAATGGACGGCCTTTTTATGTCTGGTCTCAGCAAACCAACTGTTCACAATTTCCCCAGCCAGTCTGTTCCATGACACAGTGTGCTCCTGAACACGGGCTGTGGATTCAGACCGTCTGGCTTCCAATTCCAGCTTGACTCTGAACCCCGATGATGTCATCTATGAGGTGAGGATAACACACTGTATCACACAGGACCACTGTGATGATCCGATCCAGAGGGCACTGCCAAGTCTGAATGGGCATGAGGAATAAAACCAAAGAGACACCCGCTTACTCTGCTGCAGAGGAGACTGGAAGCCACCCTCGCCCCAGGTCTCTCTCTCCTCTAAATTCTGCTTCTGAATTATACACACAGAATGGGACTGATCTCCTCTTTCTTGAAATTTTACAAGAGTTTGTACAAAGGGCTGGGCATGTGTTAATTATAACACTATAAATCACGGTTTTCCCTACCAACGTTAACGGTTTAACTCACTCTCACATGAAACAGAGGCTAACACACTCCCTACAAGGCTTCCTCTCCTGGGACGCTAGGCATGTGACTTGTGCATTCACACAAGGCCCATGTCAGAAGGACTCTGTGTTGGAAATTAATAATTTTTGAACAAGTCTTGCATTTTTATTTGCACTGGGCCCACAGAATGACACAGCCTGTCATGGCTAGATAAGGAAGCCACCTGGTATCTGAAAAGGCCCGTGGGAGAGGGAGGCAGGGGTGTCTTTTCTGCCTCCAGCTCCTGCCTCCCTTCCCTTCCCCTTGGGAAGATTTCCTTTGGGTCACGGGTGGACCTCAGCTAGATTCTGTTTGCTAAGAATTCAACTCTTGACAGCGATTGCCACCTAACTCCTTGCTATCAGGGCACTGGTTTAGCTTTGGGCAACAACACAGCCACCCTCAGGAGACGAAGCCCTGTCCAAGCCAGTCCCTCTCACTGTCTCTTTCCCCTGACACCTGCCTCCCCAACCTTGTCCATAGTGGAAGGATGATAGGAAGGATATTAAAGGAAAGACCCCCATTACCACTATCCTTCTTTCCTCCTGCTCATGATACGGATGCAAGAATATGTTTGGAGCTGCAGCAACCATCTTGTGACCCAAGAGTCAAACATCAGAGAGATGCAGATCTTGACATGTTTGAGTGGCCCAACCCACCCTGAGAGACTTAGCCCCAGACCACTTGCCATAGGAGATGATGGTCTATATTTATTATTGAAGCCATTCTCCCATCCTGATGTGAGGGATAAATGAAGAAGGAAAGAAAGAAAACAGGAACAGAGGCGTCACAAACCTGACACCCTGGCCTGGCTGGACATGAGTTCCTATTGCTCAGATTCTTATTACCAGCTATGTCCCTGGCCTCCCTGGCCCTCCTGGCCTGTCCTCAGCCTCACCCTGATGACGCACACACTGCCTTGAGCTTTAGTCTGTTGGTTTCTGTTGCTCGAAATGAAGGAAACCTAAGCAAGGACTTGTGGGAGTTTCCTGATTATTTAAAACCCAAGATCTCTGCCACCTACTCTGGGTGTGACTTTTAGTCTAGCACAGGCACTTGGTTTCTGTTTAGAAACTATTTAAAAACAAGTCTGGGTTTCTAAATGCAAACATCAAGAAGAGCTCCTCAGAGAAGGCAACAGAGAATAGAGGAGGCGGGTTTGATCAAGACCCAGGTCACATACCTCTCTGTGGATGGACAGTCCACTGGGAGAGACTGTTCCGACCTGTCAGCAAACTTGAGCATGAAAGATATTTCCCAAGAACTTCTCCCAGCCCCTTCCCTGTGTTAAAGGCAGAAGGCTTGGAGCAGAACCCACCTCATTAAGGATCCTTTAGAATGATCCCACCCCCTTTCTGTCTTTCACATCCTTAAGTGCTAAGAACAGAGGTGACTGTGCTTTGGGGCTGCGGAGAGCTTTCCCACTCGTTAGTTCTGCCCAACATTCTGCGGCAAAGTGATCAGGAAGGAAATGATAAGATCCACGATATTGATGAGGAAATTCTAACTTGATAGGCAAAAGGATCGGTTCTTAAGGAATCAGCACCTTGGCTAGAGGCACAAATAGCCAAAAGAAATGTCCTCCGCTGGCCACCGTCCTGTTTCTGCAGACTCATCTAAACTAAATGATTTTCATTCACTCGGTAAATATTTTTAAATTTTCTTCCTTTGTGCCAGGCACTGTTCTGCTTGCTTTCTGGACCAAGACATTCCAACTCCATTTTTGTTTTTTGGAACTGGGTCCTGAACCCAGAGTCTCACGCATGCTTAAGCCCAAGATCTACTGAGCTACATACAGTCCCAGCCCTTCCATCTCAATTGGGAGAAATAAAGCAATCCTCCCAGGGTGTTGTAAGAAGATTCAATGGATTTTAAATAAACCATTACCAGGGCTGGGGATGTGGCTCAAGCGGTAGCGCGCTCGCCTGGCATGCGTGCGGCGCTGGGTTCGATCCTCAGCACCACATACAAATAAAATAAAGATGTTGTGTCCCCTGAAAACTAAAAAATAAATATTAAAAAATTCTCTCTCTCTCTTTAAAAAAAATAAACTATTACCAAAAAATTTATGGGTGTTGTTAGTTAAGATTTCCTGGATTCGATATGCTAAGCAGTCTTTCTTCACCATCCCCTAAATGAAGGGAAAAGGGCACAATCGAGCTGCTTATGTTATTCCTTCAGTGGGCAAGAGCTGTTGGCATCTCCAGGGATCTTCCCGGGTCACCGCCATACTTTGCCAGATTTAGGAAATAAAAAATACAGGTTAGATTTCAGATAAACACCAAAAAATTGTCATATATCCAAAATCGAAATGCAGCTGGGTGTGTTTTATCAAGATGGAGACCCACGTCTGCCCCTTCACGGAAGGGAAAGAGGGTGGAGGGAGTCCTGCAGCCTCCCTCCTGAGCAGTCAGGATAGTCTCCTGAGGAGGGCAAGAGCCCCCTCCACTGGGCCGTCTGGGTTCGGTGTTCAACACTTACCTTAATTAATTTTGTCCTGGATGTGCACACCAGGTGTTCTGGATCTGATCTTACTAATTACCTTAAGTATTAATTAGCTTAAGTAAGTATGTACACATTGTCCCGCCCCCGCCCTCCCTCCTCCGGGCTGGGGAATGTTGTAGGTGGACATTAGGAGAACAACAAGAAATAATAATAATAATAATAATAACATTTTTCTGCTTTTAAAGCAATAGGAGGTGGACTCCCTTTCCCTTCCTGAAAGGGTCTCTCTTGAAGCATAATGGGCGGGACCCTAACTCCAGCCTTTTGAGGTGTGAATAGTTTTTCCTGCTGGGAATGTAGCAGGTGCTCCCCTAGCACCTGGGAAGCTCTGGGTTTCCCCCCCCGGCCCCCCCCCCCCCCCCCCCGCAACCCCAAACAAGCAAAAGACACCACTGATTAAATAAAGTCTCTCTAGGTGCGAGATAGAGAGCCCCAGGTGTCTCCCAAGCCACTTAAGGCCTTAAAGGTCTGGGACTTCCTCCCTTTGGTGTGTAAATACTCCTCCCTGGAGTCTTGCAGGCACAGTGGGGTGAAACCTAGACCTCTGCCTAGCCTTTTGTCCCTCTCTGGGAGGGAAGAGGACTTTATTATCCTTTGAGATAAAAGCAATTAACTAGACAAATGGCTATCAAGGTATGTGAAGAGTGTCAGAAGACCTCTGCCTTCACTTTGCCAACTATCTGAAACCAAGTGGTGTCTTGATTTTTTTTTTTTTTTTTGGTAACAGGAATTGAACCCAGGGGCACTTAACCACAGAGCCACATCCCCAGCCCTTTTTATTTTTATTTTTTAAATTTTTGAGACAAGGTCTTGCTAAGTTACTTAGGACCTCAATAAGTTGCTGAGGCTGGTTTTGAACTTGCAATCCTCCTGCCTCTGAGCTGCTGGGAGTGTTTCCATCTTTAAAGAAAGATTGGGATGTTTGGAAAAATAATTCAGATAAGACTGAAAACTTCGATGCGTAAATTTAAAATAAATAATCAGTTTTAAAATTAGATTGATGGGATCGAGGGCGTAACTCAGTGGTAGAGTGCTTGCCTAGCATGCATGAGGTCTGTGGGTTTGATCCCCAGCAACACATTCACTTGTAAAATAGAATAAGATATACTTGTAAAATAAAATAAAACCAGATTGATCACAGGCTGGGGATGTAGCTCAGGGGTACAGCACATGCACAATGCCTGGGGTTCAGTCCCAGCACTGAGTGGCAGGTGGGAGACATAAAAATAGATTGACCTCAATTCAATCAACAACAAACTGGATGACTTTTGGCAAATTCGTCATAAATAACACTCACCAGGGGAGAAAACTGCCAGGAAGAATTACGAGCCACAAAAGTTTGCACCAAAGAATAATACTTGGCTTTCTCTCAGCATTGAAATTTACTTGAAAGGACAGCGCAGAGGCTGTAGGTAGGCCCTTCACCTGTAACTACGGTGACTATAGAGAAGACATTTTGAGGGCTAGAGAAGGAGCCTCGAAACTTTGAATGATTCAGACTTGAAATATCCATTGCAATTCAGAATAATCCTTCCAGGTATGAGTAGTGCCTCCGAGAACAACCAACAGAATAAGGCTTGTTGAATCACAGAATGAGACTTGCTTAGAGGGAAATCTTAGGGCACCTGCCCAGTTCTAAAGAACAGGGCCCCAGCAAGATCTGCATGAGATTGCTATGAGAACTAGGAATCGTTCTCCTATTAATCTGTCAGCAGGTGATATGACACTATGTGGCACAACCAGCACTCAGGTCTCTACAAGCCTGAGAACTTGGAGTTGTTCTACTTAGTAAGCTGCTTTTTTTTTT